TTTGTGATGTTTTAAGCCACTGAATTGCTATCACTTTGTTATAGTGCCTTAAGAAGTGTACATAGTGCCCAGGCAGTGGTGGCACACGCCTTTAATCCCAACACTTGGGAGGCAGAGGCAGGCGGATTTCTGAGTTCGAGGCCAGCCTGGTCTACAGAGTGAGTTCCAGGACAGCCAGGGCTACACAGAGAAAAAAAAAAAAAAAGGGGGGGGTGATTTATGCAATCTGAAGAGAGTTGTGATGGTGGAGCACTCAGGGGGCAGAGGCAGGTAGATCTCTGAGTTCGAAGAAGTCAGCCTGCTCTTACAGAGTGAGTTCCAGGACTGTCTACATGGCTGGCTACATGGAAATACCCTGTCTTGGAAAAAAAAATGTACATAGGAGTTGATGCTGAGTATAGATCTTGGTGGATGAACATTTGCCTGGTATGGTGTCTTAGGGTTTCCATTGCTGTTAAGAGACATCATGACCAAGGCAACACTTGTAAAGGACAGCATTTAACTGGGGCTGGCTTACAGGTTCAGAGGCTCAGTCCACTGTCATCATGGCAGGAAGCACACCAGTGCCTAGGCAGGCATGGCGCTGGAGGAACTGAGAGTTCAACATCTTCATCCAAAGGAAGCTAGGAACAGATCATTCTCAGGCAGCTAAGGTCTGAAAGCCCACACTCACAGTGACATACCTCCTCCAACAAGGCCACACCTCCTAATAGTGCCACTCCCTGGGCCAAGTATATTCAAACCACCACATATGGATTCAGTCCCAGTATCCCACAAATTGCATAGAAAAAAATTAATCTAATCCCCAGAACATGATGCTCAGGTCTGGTCTGCAGCACATCCTCTTGGGAGTTTTTACCATCCTTATAGCAATGCACAGACTTGTCGCTCTAGTTCCTCACACTTTCCTGTGTAGCACAGACAGAATTTGTTTACAAGTTGATACTAGAAGCATTTTTCCAGGGATGGGCTTGGGTACCGGAGGTCCACATCTGTGTGTTTAGTATGACAAGTGTTTGTTTACACTCTAACCATTAAATATATATCATTCAGATAACATCAAATATTTAGCTGGTTCAACATATGGCTGCTCTTAGGAGCGACAACCTCAATGTCTAGTAACATCTCACTGAAAACTCTGGTTAATCCTTAACCACACAAACAAAAAAAGCAGGTCCAGTCCTCAAAGGGGGCAGTGCTGTCTGTTGAGATTTCCTCTACTGCTGTGTATTATAATGCTAAATTCTATGTCTCCGGTCAATGATTGACTTCTCCTGTTTACAAGCTTTTGTTGTGCAAACCTTGTTCCTTGGTTTACAACAATAGTTGTAAATAAAATAAATAAAATTAAAAAAATAAAAATTAAATAAAGCCAGTCGGTGGTGGCGCACGCCTTTAATCCCAGCACTTGGGAGACAGAGGCAGGCGGATTTCTGAGTTCCAGGACAGCCAGGACTACACAGAGAAACTCTGTCTCGAAAAACCAAAAAAAAATAAAAAATAAAAAAAATAAATTAAATTAAATTGGCTATCACCAGTTACTGGAGGGATTTGAGGTCAGTGGGTTTGGAGTGGCCAGGTGAGAAGAAGGGAGAACAGGAGGAAAGAAATGGCCATGAAGGGAGAGGAACCATGAGCACGTGGCCAGGAGAAACAGCAAGTATCTGGGGCACACGGCTGGGGGGGTAGCCAGGCCTGCAATCAAAAGAGCAGATTAGGGGTGACCCTCCCAGTAATCGTCAAAGCCAATAAAATAACCATAGTCTGAGTCTCATTCATTTGTAAGCTAGTCAGGGATAAGCTTAAAGTGGTTCTACTACACGGTCCCTCAGCAGCAGCTGCCACTGTCTGAACACTTGAGAGTTGTTGTTGGTTTTTTTTTTCCAGTCACACTGGATATGGGACTGAATGGCATTTAAGTGGGCGGAGCTCAGGGAGGCTGCAGAGTGTCCCATAACATACCATGACAAATTATGATCTGAACCAGAAGCCAGCAATGTGGAAACTGAGAGTCCAACTCTAAATGGATCTCATGCAAATGTTTTGAAAGTTTTATTTTATCCAGGGATATTTGTTTGAGACAGGGTCTTAGTATGTACCCCAGGCTGGCCTTGAATTTAGAGATTCCCCCTACCTCTGCCTCCTAAGTTCTGGAGCAATTTGGAGAATTTTTTTAAAAACATATTTATTTTTAACTAAAAGAATGTATGTGTTTAGAGGTATGTACTTGTGCGTGCAGAGGCCCACAAAAGCTAGAGGCATTGGATGCACCCTGGAGGTAGAGTTATAGGTATTTGTGAGACACTAGACTTTCATTCTAGGTACCAAGCTTCTACAAGACCAGTATGTGCTCCTAACCACTAAACCATATCCCCAGCACTTTGCTAAGTAGACTGGTCCTCTTGCTAGGAAGTCTGATCCTGCCGGCATTGCAGGTGCGCACCACCACATCTGGCTCAGATGACTTAAAACAAGGGTTTAGACTGACTTGGCAATGCTTACACAAATCTCCCACAGGCAAGCCTCAGAGATCTGACTGATGAGTCTTCCTCTCCTGTCATGAATGGACACTTTCCAGTTCTTCCCAGAGCAGCCTCTGCTGCATTCCACACAACTATTCTGAGGTGGCTGTGTTAGTTGGGATTTCACACCGTAACAGAATCAGTGTGGGGAGATGTGGCGAGAGAACCTGTAGGAACTGGCTCCCATCATTACGGAGGCTCTGGAGTTCCAAGCTAAGGCTGCAGAAATGGGAAACACAGTAACAAGGCTCCATCCACACAATTTTTATTTGGACATTTTTGTTTTGGTGTATGTGTGCAAAAGTACACTTATGTGTGTACTTGTGTACATGTGCATCAAGTGTGGAGGCCAAGGGTCACCTCAGGTGTCATTCCACAGGAAGGGGGTCAAGCTCCAGAAGCAAGCATTTTCCCAGCTGACCCCTCTCTTCCTTGTTTTTAAGACAGTGTCTCAATCTTAGCCAACGCTGATCTAGAACCTACAGCAATCCTACCTCAGCTCCCAAGTGCTGAGATGTCGGGCATCGGCTACTGTACCTGGCTTATCTGGCTTTCCCCTCCCCCAGCACACACACACACACACACACACACACACAGGATAAATTCTTATGCTGCACACTTGCCAACTCACCGTTACGTTGCTCTTGCAAAGCACCAAGTTAGGTCAGCAACGAGACTCCCCACAGCGCTGCCGATCCAACTAGGTACTTTGGAAGAAAAACGATCTCATGGGTTTTCTTATATTTATACATGTGCTCCTGCTCGTAAGTGTGCGTGTGTTTGTGTGTGTAGAACATGAAAGCAGAAAGGGAACTATGTGAAGAGAGCAAAGGTAGAGGAAGAGAGGAGCAAAATATAGTAATAGGAGAATGACAAATGCTGGCTTTCTCTTCTCGTGTGGGATCCAGATGTGTGTGTTTGCTGTTACAGATAATTTTAAAATGTGTTGTCATCACATTTATTTATTGAAGATATAGCATGCATGAGGTCAGAGGACAACTTGCAAGAACTGTTTTTGTTGTTGTTTTTCCTTCTGCCGTTTGAGTCTCTTGAATCAAACCTGGGTCCTCAGGCTTGGCAGCCAGCACCTGCTTCTCACCACTGACAAATAAATTTTAACAAGCTTTTAGAAATTGACAATTTGATAAAAGGAAATTGTTATGTGTTGAACTCATTCTGTGTTCCGTGAATATTTTTAAAGCTGTCTACCTATAATTTTTATATTTCTAGCTTTAGGAAGTTCTCTCTCCTCCACATAATACTATTAACTCATCTCTGCGTTGGCTACTATCAACATTGCTGGTCTGCTCCAGAGGACAGAATCGCCTCTTCATGTCGTAACTGAAAAGTACGAGGCTGCCCAGATCTGGGCAGAAAACAAATTTTTTTTTTTTTGGTTTTTCGAGACAGGGTTTCTCTGTATAGCCCTGGCTGTCCTGGAACTCACTCTGTAGACCAGGCTGGCCTCGAACTCAGAAATCCGCCTGCCTCTGCCTCCCAAGTGCTGGGATTAAAGGCGTGCGCCACCACCGCCCGGCGAAAACAAATTCCTAAAGAGCAGGTACTAGCTCAGTGACAGTCTTTTCTCCCAGCTTCTATCACACCATGCCATGCTTTCAGTCTCCTTACCTCTCTAGCCAAATCTTTGCCGTATTTAATTTCTGAGTACTCCCAAGGCATGCTCCTTGATATTCAATTAACTTTATTCCGAGGCAGAGAGGCTGTATTTTATCTAACTCTACAGTGTTAGATGTCGCCTCTATAAACTCCTAAGTGTGCATTTCTGCTTCATAAATACTTTGCCTTCTGAGCCAACTAGGTTGAAGACAGTATGGATAGGAAAGGGGCTCAGGGGTCTTGAAGGACCACCAGGTCTGATTCCAAGCTCCAAGCACCCGCCTGTTGGTGCATGGGGCCCAACCATGCTCCCTTTGTGAACAGCCTTGGCGAGCGCGGGATTCAGAGCTGTCAGAGCTCGGGAGCGGAGTGACGGATACCACCGAGACCCGCCACAGCACCTCCCCCGCGGGTCACTAAACCCCGGGGGCAGATGCCGGGCTGCTGAGAAACTAAAGAACTGTCCGACTCCCAAGAGCGTGTATCCATCGAAACCAGCGCGAGCTACCCGCTGAAAGGAAAGTGCAACCTCTTCTTCTTAGTAGACCAATCAGAGACGAAGATGGCCTAGACTGACAGTCCGGACAACCAATGAGGAATAGGATCCGTTCTCCGCGTGCCTTGGTACAAGAACGGTTTATTAATAGGCACTAGTCAAAGGTCCCGGTCTCGGCTGGGTATGGAGATGGGTGCAGAGCGCCAGGGGACATCACGGAAGCGGGATCCGCTCGCACCAGGGCCTGCGCGCGCTGCAGCCGCCCCAGCCCCTCCGGAGTGGACCGCGGCGCGGGAGAGGACGTGCTGCGCGCCGACGTCACGCGCTGCGCCGCGCCGCGCCCCGCCCCCGGACACTTATAGCGTAGGCCAGCGCGCGCGCGCGCACCATTGTGTGGCTGACTCGGCCGCAGCTGCGGTGTGAGGCGCGTGTTCGGGCCTTCGCCGTCCCCGCACCCGCACCGCAGCCCTGCCCCGCGGCCCGCCGCACCTCAGCTAGCCTCCGGGAGAACACCCACCACGGCCATGCCGCGCGTCTACATAGGACGCCTGAGCTACAACGTCCGAGAGAAGGACATCCAGCGCTTTTTCAGCGGCTACGGCCGCCTCCTCGAAATCGACCTCAAAAATGGGTGAGTCGGGTCTGGGAGGCCGCGCCCCGCGGCGGAGAGAGCCCCCAAGGACCGAGTCGGCCAAGGCCGCGGCGCCGCGTGGCAGGGCCTCTTAAAATGGCGGCGGCGCCTCGAGCGCGCGCGGGGGAGGTCGCGGGAGCGCGCGGCGCCGGCTAACGACACGCCCGCCGGTGCGCGGCTCGCGCCCCGCCCCTCCTCAGGTACGGTTTCGTGGAGTTCGAGGACTCCCGTGATGCGGACGACGCCGTTTACGAGCTGAACAGCAAGGAGCTGTGCGGCGAGCGCGTGATCGTAGAGCACGCCCGGGGCCCGCGCCGCGACCGAGATGGCTACAGCTACGGAAGCCGCAGTGAGTCCTACCCCCGCGCGCTCCGCGTCCTGGGTACCTGGGGTAGGGGGGGCGGGTGCAGTCACTGGGGTGGGCAGGGTGGGACCTCCCCAGCCCGGGCAGGCGCGGAGGCCGGAGATAGTCGGCCCTGGGTGTTCCTGGGCCCCTCTACCTCCACGCATGCCCGGATAGCCGTGGGACACCGGAGCGCGGGGATTGGGTCGGGTGGCCAGTTGACTAAGTTTGGAAGGAGTGGCTTCATTTGGCCCTCGTTGGCACTGACGTGGGTTTTGTTATTGAAAGCGAGGGCTGGCAGTATTTGTAGTATTCTCCCCTTGCTTATCTGTCAGTGCTTTTAGCTAGCATAGAGGAAGTTTCGAGGAAGGCTGGGGTGGAGGTGGGGCAGGGGCGGAGAAAGGGGAGGAGCTTGAAGCCTAAGTCTTAGGAGATGGGAGACTTGGTGGGGGCAAAGAAATGCCATTTTAAACTTAAGTAATGTGGCATAGTACCACAAAGTAAATCTAAATAAGCTTTATGCTATATTTGAACTAGTTGGGGCATGTTACTGGGAGGGGGTTGGGGGGATTTTGGTTATGTGAAATGTTTAATGTTGAAATTGTTGCATGTTGAATTCAAACTTTTTAACAAGTCCTTGATGTTTCAATTTGAAAGTGACCAATGGGGCTGAGGCTGTGTCCACTGAGGCTAAGATGACTGCCTTTCCTGATTGGCCTTGGCTTTTCCATACATTGTGTGACCCTTGCCCTATGACCCTTTGGCTGACCTTACCGGAAGCCATGACGACAGCAGCCTTTTGCCATTAGACGCAGGGTGATGGTGAGGATTCCAAGGGTTAGACAAAACTGGTTAATCTGAACTAGGTGACTGTTACCTTGCGTGTTTTGTGGCCAAACCACCACCAAAAACCTCACACTGTGATGTAAGTACTTAGTGTAACTAGTAAACATTTTTGTAAAATGTAGAAATGCATGTAATCAGTTAAGTTTTATATTTTACAATGTTCTGTAAAATAAAACTTAGCGAGGTAAATTGAATAAAGGAGCAGTCACTCTCTAACAGATTGCAGGAGAGGTTTAGTTGGATTTAGTCTATTTGACTTGCCCTTAATTTAATTTGTGGCAAATCACAAATGTATCGAGGGTTTAGCAGTATAATAGCAAAGTCCTACTCCAGTAATAAACGTTGCTATGTTTGTACTAACTTTCAAAAAAAATGCATCCCTGTCATTGCAATGCATCTGATTACTCCCTCCGTGTGATAAAGGTGGTGGAGGTGGATACAGCAGTCGGAGAACTTCTGGCAGAGACAAATATGGACCACCTGTTCGTACAGAGTACAGGCTTATTGTAGAAAATCTGTCTAGTCGTTGCAGTTGGCAAGACTTAAAGGTATGTACCTGGGCTCTGACAGGCAGAGAGGGCGGTTTCCTTTGGTTAGTGCTTCGTGATCTTGCTTTAGATTTCTGGGGCTTATCAGTCTTTAACTGTTTTAGGATTTCATGCGGCAAGCAGGAGAAGTGACTTACGCAGATGCTCACAAAGAACGAACAAATGAGGGTGTAATTGAATTTAGATCCTACTCTGACATGAAGCGTGCTTTGGATAAACTGGATGGCACAGAAATAAATGGCAGAAATATTAGGCTTATTGAAGATAAGCCACGAACAAGCCATAGGCGCTCTTACTCTGGAAGTAGATCCAGGTAACGGACTGGGGGAGGCTTGTAATTTTCAGTTATTGCCTAATTGTATTTACAGTGTTTCTTGGTTGTAGAAAGCAGATATTCCAGCCATAGCTGAGTAGTTAAAACACATTCTTGAAAAGATTAACTCGTCACTGTCTCTTGTGTATAGATCACGGTCTAGAAGAAGGTCTCGGAGTAGGAGTCGCAGAAGCAGCCGCAGTAGATCTCGAAGTATCTCAAAAAGTCGCTCCCGGTAAATAATTCGGTATTGGGTCTCTTAATTTTACCACTTGTTGGAGTACAGGTGTTTTCTGACAAGATACTGAAAGAAATCTGGCTTTTCTTATACAGATCTAGGTCTCGGAGCAAAGGTCGATCCCGATCCCGCTCAAAAGGCAGGAAATCCAGATCAAAGAGCAAATCTAAGCCCAAGTCTGATCGGGGTTCCCATTCACACTCAAGAAGCAGATCTAAGGATAAGTATGGGAAGTCACGAAGTAGGTCACGTTCTCGATCCCCCAAAGAAAATGGAAAAGGAGATATAAAGTCAAAGTCCAGATCCCGGAGCCAATCTCGATCCCATTCGCCTCTGCCTGCTCCACCCTCAAAGGCTCGCTCCATGTCCCCTCCGACAAAAAGAGCTTCAAGGTCCCGTTCTAGATCTCGTTCAAGGTCCAGATCAAGTTCCAGAGATTAACCCTGAACTCTACGTTCTTTGCACACTATAACGGAACACTTTCCTACTTGCTTAGGCAGTTACTCTTCCGAGTTTGTACTCGGCCTCTTCTTCAAGAGGATTTCCTGAAAAGGGAACACAGGAATTTGATTTGTGGCCAAATTTAATGAGAAAAAGATGAGGTTCTAAAATGGTGGTATGAAGCCCTCTCCCTTCTTTGTAGAATTAAGATAATTTTGATTTTGTAGCCTTTGAGCTAAAATAACTTTTGTAAAGATTAAGCTCATTTAGATTTTTTTTAAAAGTATTGCAGCAGGATCTGCTGCAGGGTTCTGTTGTTTTGTTTTGCTTATTTTTAAATTAACTGTTCAAGCTTTGGATACAGCAGGCTTTAGAGGGAGAACCCAAATTTTCAATTATGTTGGCTTTTTATAAAGCTTGAGTTATGTAAGATTTAAATAAAAGTTTGCTACCAAGATGATTGCCTTATTGAATAGGTCACTACTAAGGCCCTTTAAGTGTTTGTTGATACCTGCCATTTGTGGAGACAGTGTAAATTCTACATGAGTGTAAAACAAGGCAAGCCTCAGACCAGCAATAAATTATTCAGTTTGGCTAACCTTATTTTGTGCTGTTAATCAAATCTACCAAAGTCTTTGTCTACCCCTTTAATAAGTTGAATTAAAAGTAAAAGGGACTTTGTAGTTAGTGCCACAAGATTAATAAAGGAAACTAAAGGATTACAATTTGAACTCCTCGAGAAGTAGGTCCTAGTACTTGGATCTTGTTATCCTGTGCTCTGGAAGTGGTCAGCGTGATTAGTGTTAGTGTATGGTCTTCAATGTTTTGAAAAACAGAAGTAGCCTTTCTTTAATTAGAAATTTAGTTATTTTATTCAAAGTTGAAAAGCATATGTGCTGCATTTTTTGCTGAAAGATGGTTATATTTAACAGGTGCTTAGCAGGCATTTGGTAAGATATTTGCTGGTTAAAATTCTAATCGGTCCCCTTGGTGTTAGTGGGGCATTTGTGGTTAGTTTGAAAAACAGTGACATGGATAAACTAAAATGCTTCATACTTTATAAGTAAAGCATTATGAATGCTGTGGAAACCAAGTTAAAATAAATAGCGCAAATGTGTAGGAATAAGTTTGCAGTTTCTGTACATCTAAAAGCCCAGTTAGTTGAGACTGCAATCAGTAATTACCTTGCAACCTTTACATTATTCAGACATTTGTAAAGTCATTGCATCCCAAATACTTAACCTCATTCTTTAGTAAAGGTGTAGTTGGTTTGGCTCAGGTTTAATACCTTCCTCAGCTGTTAAAGTTGGATTATAGGTTATAATATAGAATTGGTTTGTAGGGCTAAATAATCAGGACATGCAATAAAACAAAGCTGAGTGGAAAAATAGGGTTCAAGGGCCTAGGTAGGTGTCAGTAACTGGGAATATTTGGGAACAGGGAAAGGGGAATGTTTTCAAGACATTTATCCTGTTACAAAATATTAAAGACTTAACTTTAGGAATATAGTGTCAAATAAAGCTGCTGCTTTAGTCATCTTTTCTTTGATGCTTTGTTTAGATGTTTATAAGAAGTAGGTTTATTTTTCCAGTGTAAATTTCAGAATTTAAAGAAAATTGTGTCTGGTTATAGTTTACTATTTTACCTACTTAAAAACAAGTGTGATGGCTCTTTAAGAATTGGGTTTGACCAAAGTTCTCTTTGTTTTCAGGGAAAACTATATAAAAGCTTTCTGAGCCACAGCCTTTTAAACAGGGAAAGGCTAATAGTAAAATTTGACTTTCTGATTGCATGCAATTTCAGCTGGGCTTGCCTTCTGTTCGTGTGGTAGTACATGACAGAGGCATTAGACTACTTTTTAGCTGCCCTAATAAGTATATAATGAATAGGTAAATGCCAATACCTATACAATTTTTCTGGTGGAGACAAAGGGCATTTTATTAAAAGTATAGGCTTTCATACCTGTAGATCCTAGTCATTAAATGCACTAAACAAACAACTGCATTTAAACATTGGCCCTAGCAGAATTGACTGACTTACAGTGTTTTAGTTTCTTATTGATGAGTGACTTCAGTTCCCTACCAACTAATGCACAGAATCTAGAATCCCATCCTGCACACATTGGTTGGCACCCTGGGGAGAGTATCAACAGCACCAACTGATAAGAGAGCACAAGAGAAGTGGAGAACATCTTGAGTCCTGTTGGACATGATAGTGTTTCTTGATATGTATGCCACAGTGCCTTTATGGCCAGTTTGAGTCCTGCCTACTTCAGCCTTTATGTTCCCACTCCTCCTGTGTTAACATTGCTTTCATCTTGGATATTCTTTTTTTTTTTTCTACTTTGTTAACCTACTTTATGCTTTATCTCAATAAAATGCTTACCAAGGGAAAGACTTGTTCTGCATTTATTGTGTTGTCCCTTGGCACCAAATAGTTGCCAAGTAGGTTTTTTGGAGTGGAGTTACCATTAGCTACTATTGATGTATTTGTTTTAGCTCTAGAAAGCCGGGTTTGGGAACTTAAAGTAGATGATTTGTTTTATTTTCATGTGTTTACTTATGTTCATTTTTATCTGTAGTTGACATTATTCAACACAGTTTGTCAACTTCGGAAGTTATAAGTACCTTAAATCCTTAACCTAATGTCCTTAATCCTGGACATAGGGCACTCTAAAGCTTTGCAAGTTTATCCATCAGTACCATTGTATTCCCATTGCTTAACCTTGTTCTCAGAAGCTTTGCCTGTGGTTGATCTGATTTCAGAAACATGGCGGTGAAACCAAGTGTGGAGTTTCATTTTTGTTTATAGGAATAATCTAGGGCTTCATGTATGGCTCAGGTTGAGCATGTGTTCTTATGTGCACAGCCCTGGAGTCAATCCTCATTGGTGTATACTCTCCCTCACAGACTAAATAGGGGCTAATTGTAGTATAATACATACTCTTGACCTTAGCATGAAAAGCTAAGACAGGATTGCTCTGGATTTGAGACCAGCTAATGGTAATTAACAAGAAACTTTGTCAGGGGAAGGGGGGACTTCTTGGAGTATAAAATAATTTATTGAGTCTAATTACTGTAGTCATTATTTACAGTTTCTATTTATATATCTTATGCTGGTATATGTATATACATATATATATAATCTCAATAATTATAGCTAAGGACGACTTTGAACTTGATCTTTAGGCAGTATTACTGACAAGTACTATATCACACCTGACTTGTCCCTTTTTTCTTAAGATAGGCACTAAGCATTCAGAGCCTGCCTCCAACTCAGCAATCCTACGTACCACCTTAGACTGAGCACTGGGGTTATAGGCATCAGCTACCACACCACGTCTGTCTTGTTTGTAACAGTTTATTCACACTGTGAGTAGTATGTAACTTGACTTCACTCAATACATGATAATAGAGAGTTGTGCCTTAAATGACGAGTAATCTGTTCAATAAATACTCTGTTAAAGGAATACTTCTCAAAATTGTAAGTTTTAGTAAAGTAATTGATACTAGTTTGACCAGAAAGGAATTTCAGTTCCAAAATAAAAGGAAGTGCAGCAAAATCCATCTTTGATAAGCAGGAGGACATAGTATTCTTACTACTTTTGGAGAACTTCTTGACAGCATATGGGGGGGGGTAGGGTTTTGTCTTTTGGGAGAAGGCGAAAAGAATAGTAAAGTAAGTTACTTAGAAACTCCAGTGGTCTGAAAGGAGAAATAACGCCCCTTGCTCAGGGGAGAATAGGATCTGGAGAGTTGTTTTGTGCAAGCATGAGGAAATGGGCTATATCCCTTACTGTAAGATAGTGTCTGAAAGGCAGACACTATCAGTGTACTTGTCTCAGAGTTGAGCCCTACTTATCCTAGCCAGTTAAAAGTTGACAAAGGCAGAAATTTTATTTTGTTCATTCATAAATGGCCTTTGTGCACTAAATTAATGTTGTATTCATACTTTGAGACAGTTGCTCTGACCTAGGTGGTCTTCAGTTGGCAAAAGTATTTCTTCAGCCTTCTGAGATCTGAAAATACAGGCATGTGCCATAGCGTTTGACTATTGCTGTTACTTTTATAGTGAATTTAGAACATTAAGAATAGTGGAATGGCCGGGCTGTGGTGCCACACACCTTTAGTCCCAGCACCTGGGAGACAGAGACAGGCGGGTTTCTGAGTTCGAGGCCAGCCTGGTCTACAGAGTGAGTTCCAGGACAGCCAGGACTACACAGAGAAACCCTGTCTCAAAAAACAAAACAAAAAATAGATGCCCTCTAGAATTATGTACTGTATTAGCATTATTAAATGCCAAGGTTACCTTCAAAATTGGAAGTGCACAGGTATGTATTGTTAAAGCTAGATGCTTAGGTAAAGAGTGGTTCATCCCACTTTTTTTTTTTTTTTTTTTTTAGTTCCTAAACTAAGTCTTTATGTAATTGTACCATTATGTAAATAGTTCCTTTTGGACTATTTAGCCAGCTCCATGACAGGTCACATGTTCATGTTTATTGCTAGTCAGTGCAAACAGGGTGGACATGGGAAAGAGAAGGAAAGTCTTAGTCTATCCTTCCCCTCAGCAATATCTTACTGGTAGTTTCACTGTAATCATTCCTGGGCAAAATTGAAATAAAATATTAGATAAGATAAAAGTACTTAAAGAAGAAATAGCTTTTTCTTGACCCTGTTTTGTGCCAGGTGCCATTGCAAAGGCAAATGAGCTGACTGCTTATGACCAAATACGAAGTGACAAGGAAGGGGGGACTTTTAGCAGTGGGGCTTGAGGTTGCAGGGCTGGACTCCATTGTCACCTTGTCCTGTATTTGAATGCTTGAGTCTGTTCAGCTGGATTACCTGTCTAGAGCAGCTGGAACCTTGCACATTTTTAAAGGACCTGGTCATATTGCATCATGGCTGCCCCATACTTTTCCCCCTCTGCTCTTTATTCTGTACTACTACCAAGATCTCAAATCCCAGGCTTCCAATGGCCTGTGGGTGGGTTCAAAACCTGCTGCAGCATCTGCAGTCTAAGGGCAGGCTTGTGAGCCAAAATCAGGCACTTCCCTTCCTATGGTGGCTATCTTGGGAAAGCTTTCAGGCCATTGTTTTGGGTTGAGCTCAAGAACTACCCCCCCCCCCCCCCCCCCCCAAAAAAAAAAAAAACTAGACCAAGATGGGAGTCCAAGAGGTGGCTCAACAGGTAACAGCACCTTGCCACCAAGCCTGACATGACTTGAGTTTGATCCTTGAGATGCATATTGTGTAAAGAGAACTGCACATTGTTTTTTGGACACATGTGCATACAAAACTTAGAATGTGTAAATACAATAAACCAAACTAAAGAAGTTATTCCTGGTACAGTTTTGTTACCAACACAAATTAAGCTATTTGGTTGACCTTCCAAGAAATCGGATGAAAGCCAAATTTCCAAACAGGCTGTCCTTACAAGATGGTTTAGTAGTTGAAAGCACGGGCTTCCCTTCCAGAGGACCCAGGTTCAAATCCCAGCACCTGCATGGTGGCTCAACAACTTCAATTCCAATCCCAGGGTATCCAGTCATACACAAGAACACAGACATAACTTGCAGGCAGAATACTCACGCATACAAAGTTGTCTGAAGATAACCTGCTAACAATACCAGAGCTGGGCTCAGCCTCCTGAGTCACCAGGACTACATGATTATGTCTTTGTGTCCTGATATTCTCAAGTTGTACTGATAACCCACTGTGGATGCCATTCTCCCTACTGAACAGATGTGATGGTTAGATGGGCATGTTGTTTCCATGACTATGGTGTTGTCTCTTTGGACCAGTAGTACATGTAATTCTACATGTGAATGACTTGCCCAGGAATAATTTTTACATTACCTTTCTGGCTTCAGTATGACTGCCAAGAGCGTAGACCCAGGGAGCTGGTGTAGCAGGTGAAAGCTTTTGCTGCACAAACTTGGCATCAGTTTGATCCCTGATAGAAGAAAAGAACTGACTTCCCAGTCTTAACTCTGACTCCATTCATGAGCCATGGCACACGTATCTGCATTCACACATCGTATCACACATACTTTGTAAAGGATGGGACAGACCTAGAGGTCCAGTGCATACGGGTATGAACTTGGGGATTTGATCTCCATGGATGACTTGTCTCCGCTAAGCGCTGAGCATCCAAGCAACATGTGATTTCTGAGGCATACCCCAAATGGCCTGTGTGTTTAGCCCTCCATATCATCGAGTAAGGTTATCACAGGCCTATTTCATTCATGGTCCCCAAAGACCAAATTTGGTGATCTGCCTGAGCAACAAGAACTCTAAACCACTGAGCCACCTCTCCAAGTCCTCTGGTGGTATCTTTATGCATCCCTTTTGGGTTTCTGTTAAGATTCTCACTTTGCACAGTCTGATGTGTCTGTAGAAGCAAAAATGTTTTCACGCATGAAGGGCAAAACCCTGCTATTCTGAGATCCTTGAGCTACTGAATCAGTGACTTCAATTCTGATAGAAACAGGAAGTATGGGCTGCTTCCAAACAGCCCTTGCCTCCATGCTTCTATATGGCAACACCATCTGGGCCCACTCTTGGGAAGAGGGTAGAATATGAAGGAAACATTGGACTTATTCCTAAATGCAGGCTGGGAGCCCACAGGGTAAAATGAGCATAGAGGCAGAGCTGCCCACATCACACCAGCCTGGAAGGGTCTCCATCCCTGAGGGTGTTGGAATGAGCAAGTCAGGTATTAAAACCTGTGAATATGTAAATGAGAAAAAAGTAGCAACCGACGGTTATATGAGCTGTTTCTGGGTCCCACCTGCTCAAATTCCATGCATCTGTTTGAATCACTAAAAAAGATTTGTAATTGAGAAACCCTGTGTTCAAATAGGTTTACCACTTTAATACTTAACCATTTTGGAATCTTTAAGTAGAGTCTGGATAGAGATAAGAACATGGAGTGTGTGTGTGTGTGTGTGTGTGTGTGTGTGTGTGTGTGTGTGTGTTGGTGTGTATAAAGAGCCCTCTATGGTTGTGGTTATCTCCATCCTTTTCGGACTAATCCTGTTCCTAAAAATACAAAATGTGATTAAAACTGTGGAGGCAAGGCCAAACACATGTAAAGAATAGTTAAGATCTACATAAATTTAAACTGTTGATCACAGCAATTGGGAGAATATGCCATTTAAATAGGAACTATTTTTCATATGGACTAAGTCTAAAAAAGATTTGGCTGATGGCTACCACCTACGCCAAATAGACTTGTTTCTTTTCTGCGAAATAGAGTAAAATTAAAATCAGTGTATAAGAGGGAACTGAGGCACTGAAGAGTTGAACTCTTTCACATGGACTGGTCAATAGAAGACATTTATTAGTACCCTCTCTGCTAGGAACTGGGGATGTTAAAAATTGGTGGGTTTCCTTCCTCGAGTGCGGGGTCTCTTAAACTCCTGAGTTATTCAAGTCTCTGATGATTCAGATGTGGTGCCAGAGTAAGAACCAATAAAAGTTGCGGTCTGGTAGAGACAGATCAATTGAGGAAGTGGAAAGCACAAGAGGAGCAATGATTTGCTCAAATCAACACCAAAGGAACCATTCTCGAACTTTAGAATATGGCATGATAGTCTTCCAATGTTCACTGGAAGCGCGGGAGGTACAGTGATGTTCCAGGACACACCATCAACCAGTGGCAGTGAGTCATCCAAAGGCTGGTGCAGCTGGGATTCTCGATGCCAAGCCAAGCCCAAGGCTTCCCTACTCTGGCTGTGCGTGCTCTTCACCCATCCTAGGAGTTCCCTGAAACGCCTGAAGTCCCCTTCTCCAAATGTGGAACTCGAATTAGGCAGGGTTGCAGCTGGAGGGGTTCCATCCGACTGCTTCTCCCGGCTCCATGGTTCCCAGGATACTATAAAAATTTCCACCCACTTCTCCGGCACAACTAGCGGGTCTCACAGGGAAGAGGCAATTAAGCTAGCACCCCCAAGGCTCGGACAAAAGCTGCAACCTGGGGCCATGGCCATTGCAGACCCGCCAGCTAAGGAACTCACCGGCAGGGAACAGTCCCGCCCCCCTGTGTGCGCAGGCGCGCGCCGCACCAGGCTCCCACGGTCGCTTGGTGCGGGCGGCAACCGCTAACCATGCAGGTAAGCACCGGGTAGTGGTCTTGGGCTGGGTGCTCCCAGGACGCCACACCCCGGTCCCGGCCCTCACAGCGAGTGCTGGGGTCCCTTAGGCACCGCCCCAGGTCCTTTTCCCTCTCCCGCGGCACCGGCTGTGGGCTGGGGAGGAGGTTCCGCAGACCCAGGGCCATGGCGTTGCAGGTGGGGGCTGCTGGCTGCCGGCGAGCGAGCCCACCGGCAGCATCCAGAGCGGTGGTGAGGGCAGAGCCTCCGCCTTGCGGAGAGATTCAATCAAGAGTTTCCATTAATGAGGGGGTGTGGAGGGCGACTTTGGGCTATCCATATGCCATTTGGCAAACTTTCCACCGTAATTGATTTTCAATATTTTTTAGCAGAAAACAGGATTTAAAAAATTTTGGCTATAAAGCAGGAGGGAGTGGGTGAGGGGTGTCTAAAGAATTCCGCCATTTTAGTGTTTAAAAAAGTAACCCTTCTGCAGAGAGGACAGATCAATGACCACCCCGCCCATGACTGCATTAGTTCAAGGAAGTGGGCGGTGGTTTTGGATACCCCAGCCTCGCAGGGCTGCTTGCAGGAACTATCGGGCTGGGGGAATCACCCTCCCCGAAGTGTGCTGTGTGCACTCAGGCTACCTCCCCTCTCTCCAGCACCTACCAGGGCTTTTATTGGACGTCTGCACTTTGTATGATGGTCTCAAAGGGATGGGGAGGGAGAGAGAGACAGAAAGACAGAGACTGTGTGTGTCGTCTGTCTAAAGCTTGACAGCAGGTGACAGCAGCAGGGACACATTCAGAAATTGTTTATTGAGCATCTGCTGTGTGCAACCACTCTTGTCTTAGGTAGGAGTCCCTGGAATCACAGACTAGGTTTATGAGAGTAGCCTTGTGAAACCAGCAAGATTGGGCAGAGATGGTGAAATGCTGACCTAGTCCCAGCAGAAGCCTCAGCCTGGGGAGCAGAAAGCCCTGAACCTGAGATGGCCCTGCAGGGACCCTTCAAATGAAGGTAAAGGTGTGGGGTCTTCCTAACCCTCTGTAAACTAATCATCTATGGCTGACTTAGGGAGAGAGAGCACTTGAGAGACACTGCCCCTGGCCAGTCCCAGAGAACCTGAGACTGATGGCTGACAGTTGTCATTATTCTCTAGAAAGCCCTCACTGAATGCTTTGTTCTCACTGTAATTGTTTTGGTTCTCCAAGGCTCCACTCTTTTCCCTGTAGTCCCTTCTCTGTCTCAAATACATCTTCACACAATGCCTTCCAAATCTGTCCCCAGCTCCAACCTCAACCTTTAAAGTATAAGCCTCACAAGAGCCCTTTGTCTTGGTGGCACCTATGTCCCCAGAGTGCAGAGCAGTGCTGACATTTTGTTGATTCTCCTGGACTTGCTGAGACCAGGCATCAAGCTGGATCAGAAAGGATATTTTCCGCTTCTTCTCTGAGACACGCTACTCGGGACCGGATTTTGAAACAGAGTTCTTTGAATAAGCCGCCACTTTTTTTTTTTTTTTTTTTCCGAGACAGGGTTTCTCTGTGTAGCCCTGGCTGTCCTGGAACTCGCTCTGTAGACCAGGCTGACCTTGAACTCAGAAATCCGCCTGCCTCTGCCTCCCAAGTGCTGGGATTAAAGGCGTGCGCCACCACTGCCCAGCTGCCGCCACTCTTCTTGATCTCCAGTATTTGAAACAAAAGATTTGTTTCATTTAAAAGAATTAAAAGTGGTGCAGAGGTTGGGGTGGAAAGATGGCTCAGGGTTAAAAGCACTTGTTGCTCTTGCTTACGACCCAGGTTCAGTTCCCAGCACTCACATGGTGTCTGACAACCATCTGGAACTTCAGGGAGGTGTTGGGGGTGGGGGTTAAGGTGGGGGGGGAAAATCAGAAGCCCTCTGGTGGCCTCAACAGGTACTGCATGCACATTGCCAACACATACATTCCAAGAAAAGCAATCATAAACATAAAAGTAAATGTTTCTAAGTGGTACAAGCTCTTCAGCTGTGAGACGCAAAATAATTGGGACTGACACTTGGGGAATTCTAGATTACAAGTTTTAAAAACTCACATTGTTTTGTTTGACCTTGTCTACCTGTTTATACCAAGCTTTATACTTCTAATGATAGACCTCTATACTATATTCTGCGTTTTAGGGAGGAAAACCTAGGAAATAAATGAACATACAAAACCAGCAGGAGGGAGGGAGGGTGGGCACAAGACAGCAACCATTTGCTCCTGATTTTGCAAGTAGGCAGGGTCGATGTTACTGGCCAGAAGCTGCCAAGCTCCCTGGGGCTTCTGTGTGAAGGACGAGAGAGGGCTGCTGTTTGGTAGTATCAATACGTTACCCGTATTGGTACCTGTACGGACCTGTTAGTATCAATACGTCCCATCCGGCACGTACCAAAGCCCCCTGAGGTAGGTGCCATCACCATTTTTATTTTATCCTATACGTAAGAAACTGGGGCTCAGAGTGGGAAAGTTACTTATCTGGAATCACGGGTATTAAGTAAATGTGGAGAAGCTGAGAGTCTGAGTCAAAACTCTGTCCTAAGCTGAGCCTCATATTCCTTCCTCATCACATATGCCAGACGCCATTGCCAAGCACTGCTAAGAAGCAGCTGAGTAGCAGTCATACTACAGAATACAGTTCCTTCTCTTTCCATCCATCCCCCAACCTCTCTGCTGGATTTGAACACAGGATTCATGCATGCTCGGCAAGTGCTTTGCTAGTAAGTCATAGCCCCAGCTCTTGGATCTTGTGCTGACTAGGTTTCATATGCTACCCTTTTGCTATTCATGTACGTGCATTTGGTCAACAGATCCTTCAGTGGAGGCTTTACAAGCCCCCTTTCGACCTAATCATCCATGGCCTTGCCTGGGTTTGGAGGGAGTGGCGTATGGGGAGAACCAGAAGAACAGGGTCAGGGAAGATGTCACCTTCCACAAGGACCAATCCTGTTTGGATAGAGTAGAATATGGTTCATGAAGACTCTGAGTTCTCAAAGATAGGGAATGGAAGTGGGGGACCAAGAAAGAAGTGAATTTGGACTTAGCCTGGCCTTTGTCACTGGCCAAAGCAGGATCTTGGCCTGAGTCACGTATCCAATAATCGATTTCCAGACACACAGTGTGCACACTGTTGGGCATACCATTATGCCCGCCCTCACAAATAAAGGGCAGGGGCAGTGACCTGGCCAGAGTTCTAGCATTAACCTAGGTAAATGTCAGGAGTCAGACCTGCTGCCGGCATCCTTAACCATCAACTCAGAGATGAAACCTTTCTAAGTTGCTGACTGAGGATGGCCAATTTCTCCTCCAAGAACCCCCTTCCCTGTCCTCATCACCTTGGTGGCTGTGTTTGGTTCGTAGACACATCTGGATGGAGGGCCACACTGACATGGAGATATTAAGGACAGTGAAAGGGTCTTCCACAGGGGAGGTCAACATGCACCTGGTGGCCAGAGACAGCATAGGCTCCCATCCTCACCTGCCTACAACCGCCTTCATTATTCCTAGTAAGTCAGAGTCAGGGGTCTGGAGGTTCCATATTTGCTCAAGGTGAGGATAGTGGGAAAGGCTTTTCACTCTTTTCCTTACTGTTGGTTTTGTTTAATTTTGTTTTTTGAGACAGGGTTTCTCTGTGTAGCCCTGGCTGTTCTCAAACTTGCTTTGTAAGTCAGTCTAGCCTGAAACTCAGATTACCCCCGAAATCTGCCTCCTAAATCCTGGGATTAAAGGCATGTGCCACCACGCCCAGCCTTTTCACCCTTCTACAACTGTTCACCTTTATACGCATGCGTGACAGGAGCGAGGCAAGATCACCAGGCTCATCTATGCTTTCTCCGATCTATGTATTGTTTCTAGCCAATGAAGCTACCATTGGTCTGCCTAGTTCTGCCTTGGATGTGTCCTACCCCCGGGAGCCAGTCCATGTGGGTGCCCTGGAGCGGGTGGCTGGCAGCGAACCCGTAACAGCCACTATTCTACCACAGCTAAGCACCGGACCGGGGACCAATAGCACAGTCAGGCTTCTGGATTGGACAGGGGTTTCCGCACCTTTAGCTGGAAGCAGCATGCGGGTCCGTCTCCCTAAAGACTGGCAGGTGCAGGGAGGGGCCAGTGGGATTGAAGGCGGGGCTTGAGGCGGAAAGGTTTGAAGCTGGTAGAATCTGAGGCTTAGAATGAGACATCCTGAGACTGGACTTGGTGGTGGAGGGTCGGGGGACATGGGCAAAGTCTAGAGGCCCCTTAAAGCATGAGCTGGCAGAGCTAAATATATAAAGTGTGGGTGACCCAAGGTATGGAGAGCTGGAATAAGGTCCTAGTCCTCAGAATTTCCTGTATCCCAGTTCCGGATAAACGAGTACGCGCCACTGAACATCATAGGAATGGAGCGACGAAGCCCGGAGCAGCGACACGAGGGTGGGCCGGCTGGAAAAAATACGGGCATCCAGCACCCTGGTAGGATCCTACTTCCCGGTGCGATGCGTGGGTGGGTGAGGCTTGGTTAGATGGGCTCGTGACCGGATGCGATCCTAAGTGGAGAAGGCTGGAGGATGCTGTCCAGTAGGAAATGGGCTGTAGGGGGATGTGGGCGGAGCCTGAGTGTGCTGTGTTTGGGTTGGAAGATTGAGGCCAGCGATCTCCCACAGATATTCACCAGGACACTCAAAACGTCATTTCTCTGGAACCTCCAGTAGACGCAAGCTCCTGCAAATGCCAGGCTTGTGGGCCTCAACAAAATATTAGCTTAGACGTTGGTTCATCGGGAGACCAATGTCCACAGCCTTTCCAGAAGAGGTAAGAAGAAGGGCTTGCAGCTTTTCTTGCTCTGTTTTTAGTTCTTAAAGCCTCCTTCCTGTTCCGGGTTTGGAGAATGTGGGTACATTGGATGCTAATGAATGAATAGAATTTTCTCTCTAATAAGACCCTTCCATTTGTAGGTCAGTCATTGTAGAAAACTCAGGCCGTAGCATCACTTCTGAGCTCCTAAAACCCATGAAAAAGAGGAAACATAAGGAGTATCAGAGCCCATCAGAGGAGTCCGAGCTGGAAGCCATGGTAAAATAACGTCGCTGGAACCTCAGTTTCATATTCTTGTCAATCCGAGATAGGGGGGCTGGGTCAAGAAGTCTCCTGTTGCATCCTACTCCCATTTTTTTTCAGATTCCATCTTGAATCACATTATAAACCTTATTAGAGGAAGGGAGGGAGGGAGAGAGGGAGGGGGAGAGAAAGAGAGGATGGAGACTAAAGCAGGAAGATTCTCTTGGGCGAGTGAATCAACACAGAACCGTTCACATACTTAGTTCCCCCTCTAGAAATGAGAGTTGTAGTTTCGATTGTGTAATGAGGACTTCTGTACTCACGTGGATCTGTACCTCCCAGTGGTACAGACCTAAGCAATGGATTGACTGCAGGAACTCTGTCAAGGATTACGCATAACCCTAGAGTTAACACTTTCAATTTCGGGCATAACGACCAGAGAGCCAGCCAGGGACCAGGGATCAGAGGCTGAACTTGTAAAACAACCCATGAGGATAATAAGCTGGCATCATCAGACTTTCTTTTAACACAGAAGCAAGGAGAAGGAAAAGACCTAGAGAGAGAGCCCACCCCCAGCACCCCAGAGAATGAAGAGTGGAGTAGAAGCCAGCTGGGTATGGTAGCCTGTATTTGTTTATATGAAGTGTCTATATACTTCTGAAAGTGTGAGATTGAAGGTGTGGGGGGGGCATGGTTGTGGTTGTACATGGTACATGTGAGCATAGATTAATGTATATGAAGCAAGACCATTTGTAGTCTGTTCATGACGATGTGTTTATTCTGGGGGTTGTTTATCTTGCGTTATACATCTGTGAGGAGGCCCTGCTAGGAAGTCTGGGCTCAGCATCTGAAGACTTGAAGAGCCACATGGCATTACTTCCTTTTTTGGTGGGATTGGTGAGCCCACACACGTCATTGGCCAGACCTTCCTGTCATAGACCCCTTTCCTGGTCTTTTGGTTCTAAGGGATCCTTCTGATTAGCTCCTGCTCTCAGGACTCCTGTTAGTATTTCTGTTGTCCTAGATGACAGCTGCCAACTGGATCTAAGCAGAACTTATCATACTAGTCTTCACCAATGTAGCAATTTGTATGTCTTCCTCCCCTAACACTTATACTCTATCAACACTGAATTTATTTCTACTTTTATTACACTGAAGGGAGGTGCATGTGCCTCAGGGCCTATTGGGGGTCAAAGGACAGTTTTCCAGAGTCAGTTCTCTCCTTCCATGAGTCCTAGGGAACCAATGACTGGACAGCAAGCGGAGCCATCTTGCCAGCCTGGAACCAAATCTGAGGTTGGCAGGATCACTGTGTCTCAGCTGCTAAGCCTAGACCCTGGTATGGAATGGGTTCTCAGTGGATGTTTGGTAGCTAGGTGAATTGATGGCGTGTGTGTGTTGGTGCCCTCATGGATTCTACTTCAGTTACATGAGATTTTCCCATCCTGGGGCGAACCAGAAGAGTGAGCTCAGACACCGTATGCCACCTTTTCTGTGTACTCATTTTAAGGACAATGACAGGTAGGGCTTGGTGTCCCACACCTTAAGTCCTAGCACTTGTGAGGCAGAGACAAGTCTCTGTAAATTTGTTTGCCGGCCTAGTCTACATATCAAACTCTAGGCCAACTATCTTAGTCATTGTTCTAGTGCTATAAGGAGACACTGTGACCAGGGCAATTGTTATCAGAGAGAGCCTTTCATTGTGGGGCCTGGCTTACAGTTTCAGAGGTTAGTCCATTATTATCGTGGTAGGGAGCATGGAAGCAGGCAGGCAGGAGCTGGAGAAGTGGCGCTAAGCTACATCCTGATCATCAGGCAGCAAGAGGGAGAGGGAGGAGGGAGCAGGGAGGAGGGAGGAGGAAAGAGAGGGAGAGAGAGAGAAAATGGGCTTAGCATGGGATTTTGAAACCTTAAAGCCCTCAAACTCCTAATGACACACTTCCTCCAACAGGGCCACACCTCCTGATCCTTGTAATCCTTTCAAACAGTTCTACTTCCTGGTGACCAGGCATTCAAATACATTAGCCTGTTGGGGCCATTCTTCTTCAAACCACACCAATCTAGGCTATACAGTGAGACCCAGTCTCAAAACAACAACACAGAACCAAGACAAGGGCACTGTTAGTGAGGCTGCTCATCAGGTAAAGCTCTTCCAGACAACCTGGATTGAAGTGTCAGCACTCACAGGGTGACCCTGGATTGAAGTGTCAGCATTCACAGGGTGACTCAGCCATTTAACTCCAGTTCAGAGGATCCAGCATGCTCTTCTGATCCCTACAGACACATGATTTTTTTTTAATTATTAATTTTAAAGATGTGATAGTTGAGAACGTCATTCCACAGGGCTGTATATACTGCAGAGATGCCCAAGCGTTTGGGACTTGAGGACAAACCATGTCCGGTCTTTTACTCCATATACATCCAGATCCATAAGCTAGTGGCACTCCAGGATCGGCTAGTCATGGCTTTTCAGATTCAGAGCGTCTTTCTCTATTTTTTTATACTTACTTACTTACTTACTTACTTTATTTATTTATTTATTTATTTACTTATTTTTATCTTTTGTATTGCTGGGGATAAAATCTAGGAGCTCACAGGTGCTAGCCAAATGGCCTCTGGGCTATATACCCAGACACTTATTCTTTTTTATGGGGTTGAAAATCTCTTTCTTTCTTTCTTTCTTTCTTTCTTTCTTTCTTTCTTTCTTTCTTTGTTTTGTTTTGTTTTGTTTTTGTTTTTGTTTTTGTTTTTGTTTTTTCAAGACAGAGTTTCTCTATATAGCCCAGGCTATCCTGGAACTCACTCTGTAGACCAGTCTGGCCTCGAACTCAGAAATCCGCCTGTCTCTGCCTCTCAAGTGCTGGGATTAAAGGCGTGTGCCACCACTGCCCAGCCAGACACTTTACTCTTATTTTAGACAAATATAATTTGGTCAGTTATCTTCTACTATTAATTTTTTGATATATTTGCTTTTGTTTTTTCTTTTTGGGTTTCATGGCAGAATCTCTGTCACTGCCCGAGACTGGTGGCCTTCTTGCCTCGGTTTCCCAAATGCTGGAATTCCACACCCATATGCTACCATATCCAGCACCATTAAATCGTTTTTTTTTTTTTAATTTTTATAGCCTGTTTTTGTTGTTGGTTTTTTTAAGATTTGTTTTTGTCATATTTATGTGGGTTGGTTTGCCTGCATGTATGTCTGCGCATCACGTGTGTAGAATGCCCACAGGGACTAAGAGAAGGCATTGGATCCCCTGGGACTGGGGTTACAGATGGTTATGAGCTGCCATGTAAGTGCAGGGAGGCAAACCCAGATTGTCTGGAAGAGCAGTGAGCATCCTTAACCTCTGAACCATCTCTCCAGTCATCTCTCGCCCATTAACTCTTTATGTATTCCAGATATGAGTCACGTGTCAGAGGTAAATACAGATATTTTTTGCCTTGTCTTTTCTTTTTTAAATGATGTCTTTAGAAAAACAAAGTCTTCAGTTGATTCTATCCAGTGTATCTTTTGGGAGGATAGTTGGGACAGGGTCTATGTAACCCTGGCTGTCCTAGAGCTCACTCTCTAGACCAGGCTGGCCTGGAACTCACAGAGATCCACCTGCCTTTGTGTCCCAAGTGCTGAACACCCAGTTAGTTCATCATTTTAACAGTTTAGGCATAGATGTTTATGAAGTATAGGGTTTTAATGGCGTTATTCAGCTATACTTCACACAGACTACTGCCTATCTACTTGAAATATGCAGTTGTAGCATAGTATGTATGCAGAGTCATGTAACTATCACCATAGTAGACTTTTAAACATTTCCCTCCAAAGAAGCCCCGTACCCATCAGTGGCCATCCCCAGAAGTCACCTTTATCCTCCCAATAACCAGCAGTTTACCTTCTATATACATAGATTTGCCTGCTTGGGGCATTTCATTCAGTGCCTCTGCTTGCACCATCATAGATGTGGTCCCTTGTGTCTGGCCTCATTCTCTTTAGCATGGTGGTATCAAGATCTAGCCATAATTTAGTACACTTGGGGACTTTATGCCCTTGGGTTAAGTAATATCTGTCCATCACCTGATGGACAGATTGCTTCTGTGTTGGACGGTTATGCTCTCTTGTCTGAATATTGTACAAGTTTTTGTGTAGATATATGCTTCAGCTTTATTGAGCATGTACCTAGGAGTGAAGTTTTCTTCCACATAATGGCTCTTGGACAAATTACAGGTGGAGACTGGTGGCACACACCTTGAGTTTTCCAAAGTGGCTGGAATCTTATATCCCAGGATGTACGAGGATCTAGCTTATACCCGTCTTCAGAGTTTGCTGCCGTGTGTCTGGTTTTCCCTCTTAGCCATCCTGTGGGCTGTGAAGTGGTATCTCCCTGTTGTTTGGATGTGTGTTCCCAAAGACTACTGAGCGATATGTTGGACATCTCTTTATGCAGTCTATTAACCATCTACATATTTTCTTTGAAGAAATGCCTATTCATAGCCTTGTAAACTTATAAACTGGATGCAAGAAACTGATTCTATATTAAAATGCTATAGTGACGTATGGGATTGTGGAGGGGCTGAGAGTCTGCGTGTAGTTCAGTAAAGACACCAGTCAGGATACCAACTACAGGGACCTGGACTACTTCTTGCTTGCTTTCTCTTCCTCTTCCTTCCCCACTCCTTTCTTTCAAAATTCCCCTTGGCTTTTTAGGGTATGATTTTTCTCTTTTGTTTTGAAACAAGATCTCACTAGGTAGCTCTCTCTGGCTGGCCTGAATCTTACTACATAGACCAGGCTGGCCTCAAACCCACAGAGCTCCATCTGCCTCTGTGTCCCTGATGCTGGGGTTAAAGATGCTCACCAGCACTCCCGACCATTGGCCTCAAAGGAATGACTCAGCCACTGAGCTTCTGAGGCATGCACTACCCTGTCTGGTTTAGTTAGGTGGTTTTGTCTTTTGAGGTGAAGTCTCACCCTTTGGCTCCAGCTAATCTCTGATTCACAGTTTCCCTCACCTCTGCCAATCCCGAGTTATAGGCAGGAGCCACTCACCTGGCTTACAAGCAATTTCTGATTTCCGTCTGTTTTTTGAAACACATTCTCATTCTGTAACCCCAGGCTGGCCTGGAGCTCACTGTGCATCTCTGGCTGGCCTTTCTTTTGCCTCTGTAGAGCTTAAGATTACAGGCACGTGCCGCCATGCTCAGCGATATAAACACCTTCTTAACTCAAGTTCCTAATCTAAAGTTTGATGCAAAATTCTACAAACTCTTAATTTTTTGGGTGGGGGGGGGAGAAGATGGTTCCCTGGCTTTCATTACTTTTCAAAATATCCCCAGTAGCAGCATGTTCATGAGGCAGTATCTCCTGACCTAGTCCCTTCTCCCCACCTCACCCCTTTTTTAGACAGCATCTCACTGTGTAGCCTTAGATGGCTCTTGAACATTGGCCCACTCTAGATCTTGTCTACTGTGTATCAGGCACTGGCTAGGAGCTGAGCTTCAGAGTGAGCTAGACACCAGGCCCCCTCAAGGAGCTCACGCTTGCAGAGATGTGATGGGTAAGTAGCTATCGTCTAACAGTATGATGTATGATATATCATTTAACAATATGTTATATATCATTATAACAATATGACAGGCATCACATATGGGATATGTAAATACAAAGCTGTTTCATGGGACAACTACCTCATGCAGTCAGTCATTCCATGACGCGGTCTGTCCATCTGTCCTTTCTCTAGTCGCATAACAAACACCTGTTGAGCATCTACTCCTGGTAAAGCCCTAGATGCCGCAGCTGGGTCTCGGTCTTAGAGGGTAAGGAACGTTAGGAAGATGGAAGGAAGTTAGGTGCAGGATACTCAAACCAGAGGACTCAGCCTATGCAGGGCCACAGAGAGAAAGGCGAGAGGTTCTCCATACAGTGTGAGCAGGAAGGAGTGGCTAGCTTACAGAGGCTTTGTGGGCTGTGGACAAGTGTATGGTTTTGTTCTTTAGGTGGAGATAAGATATTTGGGGACTTAAAAAAAAAAAAGTCCTTGCTGTGCCAGGGGTGATACCCAGGGAGGGGCTCCCCCTTCTCAGAGGGGAAGAAGGGGGAACTGGGAGAGGAGCTGTAGCGGGAAGGACTAAGAAAAGAAGGGGGAACTGATATTGGAAAGTAAAGTGAACAAATAAATGAATGAAAACAGTCTTCACTTTGGAGATAGTTTACAATGTAATAAGTTTGGAACAGGAAGACAAGAAGGAGAATCTTAGACTGGTTCAGAGCCAGGGCTAATGAGGGGCAGTGGAGACAGACCCAGGAGCTGGAATCAGCCGGACTGGAGGATTCTGGGGAGTAGAGCAACGTACAGACCGTGCAGACCACTGCCAGGTTCCCAAGTGGATGAACGGATAGACGTGCCAATGTCTGCGATAAACAGCACCAAAGGGACCACAGGCTTTGGCATAGTCATTTCTAGGTTAGCTTTGACCAAGCTGAGCTTTCCAAGGGCATGTGAGGAAGCAGGAACAAGCACAGAAGTATCTCTGGAAGCTGGAGGGCATCTGTTTTACAGATGACCTCTGTGATGCCTTCATACAAGTCATATAAATGCGCCTCTTCTTAGTAGACCAATCAGAAGAGGCTCTTTCTTTACTGTGGACACCCACATGGTTTGGCAGGGAAGCCAGCTTGGATGGCAGCCCCATGTAGCCTCTTGGCCAGGTAACAGCGTATAGCATATAGATTGCGCAACCACAGATGGGAGCTTTGGGACTTACTTGAGTTTGGAGATAAGACTAAACGTTCACTGGGGGAAAGGATGCAGGAAACTGGAAGAAACCAGGGCTTGTCCACGGAAGGAATCCAGATATTACAGGGAGATATGGGAGCCAGGCCTCTTTTCTGAGGCTGATATGCCATACAAGATCTCTTTTCTCATCTATGAAAAGGGTACCAGCCTTTTCTGTCACCCCAGGGCGTTGGGAGTTCTAAAGGAGATGGTGTATATGAAATCCCTGAAGCATCTCTGGACTCCCAGTTCCTGGCAGCAGACAGGACACACAGGTGGCTCGGCTAAATGGTAAAAGGAATAAGGTTTTTTTTTTTTCCCAAGACGGTTTCTCTGTGTAGCCTCCCAAGTGCTGGGATTAAAGGCATGTGCCGCCACTGCCAGGTGAAAGGAATAGTTAAGATAAAACAAGATGGTGTGTGACCAAAGGCCGAAGGCCAAAGACCTGTTACATGCCAATGAGAGCATCAAGTTAGCATTGGTGGGGACTGTGGAGATGGCTCAATGATTAAGAACACTGGTTATAAGCCGGCCAGTGCTGCCATACATACATCTTTAATCCCAGCACTTGGGAGGCAGAGGCAGACAGATCTCTGAGTTCCACGACAGCTACACCGAGAAACCCGTCTTGAAAACAAACAACAAAATCCAAAGAGCACCAGCCATTTTTCCAGAAAACCACATGGTGACTCACAACCTTTTGTGACTCCAGTTTCAGGGTGATCTGTCGCCTTCTTCTGGCCTCCATGGGCACTGCATGCACATGGTGCACAGGCAGACATGCGTGTAAGACACCATGCACTTTTTTTTTTTTTTAAAGTCAGTACTGGTGCAGGGGAGGAATTGATGTGAGAGGAAGCTGATGATGTAAGAGCTGACAGATCAGCATGGTGCCTGTGAGAAGTGTCTGCTGGGATGTGGCGTGGTGTGGGCATCTTATAGCTTGATTCTATTGGAAGATGGGTAGAGGGGAGTGAACTCAGGACTGAAGTACCTAGGAGCAACAGAGGTGCCCGAGGTAAGAAGGTTAGCAAGTGCTGAGCTACTGACTGAGCTTGTGTCGGGAAGATAAGGCCAACGGGATGTTATCTAGGAAGAAAGGCCTGGGTATTGTGAAGTGTTTTGTCATAGCGGTGGTCTGGATAAAATAAAGAATCAGACAGGGTGTCGTGGTATCCCAGTGAGGATGCGGGGGACAGCACCAGTGTGATTAGCCTGGCATCCTGAGCTCTGAGCTTGTGTCTTCTTGCCCCTGCTCACTGAGGAGAGATGAAGCTCTGTAGAGAGCAGATGTTCTGGAGGAACGTAGTAGGGGTCTTACTCCAGACAAAGGATGCCCTGAGGAGATGTGCACTAGATTTGGCATTAGCATTAACCTCTGGGAGAATTTGATAGCTCAATTGATCAGTTGATGAACAAAATACTTGTCTTAGCCCAGTGGGGTCAGGTCTTTGGGAGCTCAAGGTTTGGTGCGGCTAACTAAGGAATTTAAGACAGCTGTAGAACAAACAAGTTCCACGGAGGACTAAACCTCTTCCTGAGCTAGCAAACCAGCACAAGCTTGAATGACCCAAGGCCAAGGGGACCAGAGCAAGGGGAACTGGGTCAGTGTGTCAGTCTTGGGCAAGACCAGGAAGGATCAGTAACATGATTCTAGTCTTGTTGGCATTTCATAAGGACCTCTTCTAGACCATGTATTTCAACATCCTCACAAACCCTTTAAGGCAAGTAGCACCACAAAGCTGAGTCAATTTCCAGAAGAAATTAAAGCTTCCCCCTCCCCCAAATAGAAGCTGATTCTTATGTGTTGCCGGGCCTCTGGTTGTCTGTGTCCTTCAATGAAAGGCAGCTCAGCTGACGTGGTCAGCCTACCTTCTGGTTAACTGGCTATCATAGCCTTTAAAGTGCCCTGTGTGTGGAGGCCAGGTATCTACTAGCAGAAAAACTCCCCACCTCTCCTCCCCCAGGACTCTTAAGACTCTGGGGTATGAACAGGACCTGAACCGTAGGTTCTGGAAATCATACATGTATATTTGTGTGTGCCTGTGTGTGCACATCCACATGTATGTTTGCACACACTTGTGTCCATGAACGCATTTACTCACGACACACATCTGTGCTCACCCTCAGCACGCACGTGTCTGGGAAGACTGTGGCTTTGGTTCACATGCTGTGGTACGCCAGGTTCACACCCACATTTGTATGTCTGTTCCTCTAAGTACTTAGGGGAACAATATTTAGAAAGGTTTCTTGTTTCTGTGGGTTCTCTCCCCCACTTCTTCCTTTCTGTTCACCCCCCCCCCCCGCCCCGCTTCTGTATTTCCCCCTCTTCCCTTTATGAGCTTGGGTAGCACTGTCATTAAGTCCCCTGGCTCAGGTCATCGCTAATCCTACCCTGTACATTTCTAAGGACAGACTGGCTGAGTCTTTGTGACCTTCCTTGTTGCATAATCCGAGGGGCTTCTGCTGACAGTGGCTTGTGTGGGGTGGCAGAGAGAGGGGGAGGAGAAACAAATAATCCTATGACCTCACCTCAGGTCTGAGCCCCCTGTGCCTGTACTGTCCTAGCTGAGTCGGGCAAGAGGTACACATGGACAGTCAAAGGTTTGCTTGGAGGCTAAGCTAGAGCTTAGTCAGGAGAAACAGGAAGATGACCCACGCCTCAGGAGCCAACCCATCTCTCTTGTCTCTGCAGTGTCCAGTGAGAAGAAGGAAGGCTGGTCCTGGGAGTCCTACCTGGAGGAGCAGAAGGCTGTCACAGCCCCAGTTAGCCTCTTCCAGGACGTGAGTCAGGAGTGTCGGCCCAAGCAGAGTTTATCCTCTCAGTCCAGGGACTTACCACTAAGAGCAAGCCTTCTGGTGTTTTCTACCAGACAATCCTTGATGCACTAACAGAATGAAGAAGTCCAGAGTTGAGAAGGGTGCACTGTAAAGAACTTTCTAGATAAGAAGAAATAGAGAGGTGGCCTCTAAGCTCACCCCTCACCACCTGACTTGTGGATTTTAGGACTTTTGACCCAGTTCAGCATTGACCTCACCGTGAGGCAGCTGAGAGAACCGGTTAAGTCTAGCCCTGACCCAGCCCTTCAGAATAGTCCTGCAGCTCTCTCGTCCTCTAGTGACCCCTATAGGCAGAGCCCCCAATAAGTCACCCTTTGAGATCAGCAAGGCAGATGGGGCCTAAAGACAGCTCCTTCACCCCAAGCCCACTAGGCAAGTTGATAAGGCTGAGTGGCAGCTGGGTCCTCTCCACTCTGTGCGTTGACAGTCCCAGGCCGTCACCCATAACAAGAATGGCTTCAAACTGGGCATGAAACTGGAAGGCATTGACCCCCAACACCCATCTATGTACTTCATCCTCACTGTGGCTGAGGTGAGCTGGAAATACCCTCCCAATGTTTCAGTGTAGCATGATGGAGCCTTGGTAGGTGGGGGCTGGGGGGATGGAAGGGAGGCACTGCCCTGCCTCAGGAAGCCCAGACATCCAGGGGCGTCCATTGGAATACAGGGAAATCGAAAAGTAAATACTGGAGAGTAGGTAAGAAGCCATGGGACACCACTGTTAGTGAATAGTATTTAAGTTGTGTATGCTGGAGGTGGGGTGGGGCACATCAAAGATACAAAAGGTACAGATGCTGTCTCAGATCGAATAAGGCCCTGTCCTCTAGGGAGGGAATCTGTGAGATGGGCGTGGCCTTGACACACCGTGGGCTTGCAGATGAAGACATATTTCATTTGGCCCCGAGGATTAGGAAAGGTGTAGGAAGGCCTACCTGCCACCATTCTGTGCTAGAGCAGGAAGTCCCAAGCAGATGCAGCAGAGTGGATCCTGGGGCACGAGACAGAGTATGAACATAGCGGGGTGCATTGAGAGGGTCCAGTGAGAGGAGGTGGCAGAAAGAGAGACCCCAGAGGCACAGAGCGAGCTAAAGTCCTTTCCATATCCGGTCTAAGGTTTAGGGAGGCAGGGGACTCAGCGAACCTGCTAGCACTGGATCCCTGAGACTGCAGGCTAGACCGGGAAAGGTGAAGGAGGCAGAGCGAGGCGCCTGCTGGCATTGACCTGCCTCTGATTCTTTTTCACGGGCCAGGTGTGTGGCTACCGCCTGCGCCTGCACTTTGATGGTTATTCCGAGTGCCACGACTTCTGGGTCAATGCCAACTCCCCTGACATTCATCCCGCTGGCTGGTTTGAGAAGACTGGACACAAGCTGCAGCTTCCCAAAGGTAAGATCTCTCTGGGTTGGTCCCTGGAAGGCAGTGAGTCCCAGACTCATCTCTTCCTCCTTTCGGGTCACCCTGCAACCTCCTTGGTTTTTTGTTGTTGTTTTATTTATATTTGTTTTTATCCTAAATGTGCAAGGCAGTCTCTCCATCCCATTCCGATACAGCTCCCCTCTGAGGCTTTTCAAAACTCTTCGAGTGTTTTCTGTCTTCCTTTAGCATAGGGTCCCTGAGGGGTTTGGGGACCTCAGACCTGCCTGTTTCTACTTCATTATTTGGGCCCTCACCATGGCCCAAGCCTCTGCAAGGTACTCTGTTCCTTCCCCCTCGAGGGGCCCAGGTTACAAGGAAGAGGACTTCAGCTGGAGCCAGTACCTGCGCAGCACAAAAGCTCAGGCCGCCCCCAAGCATCTGTTTGTAAGCCAGAGCCATGTGAGTATCTGAGTAAAAGTGGCATCATCCCTGAGGCCAAAGGAGTGGAACTCAGCTGTGTCTGATCTCTGCTGGTTCAAGAGGCATGTCCACAGAAAGACCAAACCCGAAATGGGGGATGCTGGTTACATCCCCCCACCCACTCCCTCCTTCATCTTGTCTTCATCTGTTTGTTTGGTTTTTTTTAATTACCTTTTTTAAAAATTGTATTTCGCGTGTGGGATGCACCTTGCTGCATAGCGCACCTAGAGGTCAGAAGACAGCTTGTGGGAGTGGGTTTTCTGCTTCCATGTGTGGATCCAGGGATTCAGACTCAGATTGTGTGGCTTGAAGGCAGGTGCCTCCACCCCCTGAGTCATCTCACCAGCCCTCTTCCATTTTGTGTTGCTATAACAAAATAATACAGAAAGAAATGAGCCTTGCTTTGTCCTATAGCTTCAGAAGAGGAAAGTCTATGATTAGGTAGCCCTTTCTGTTGAGCCTCTGAGGCAGCTCCATGGCAGCTGACCCCACACTGTTGGAGACGTGTATGGAAGAGATCGCAGGGGTCAGAGGTGTGGAAGCATAAGCTTGCTTGCTTTCCTTCTTCCTCCTTTCTCTTCCTAACTTCCTTCACTTTCTTTTTCTTCTTTTGGGTTTTTGTTTTGTTTGGGTTTGTTTGTTTGTTTGTTTTGAGACAGGGTTTCTCTGTGTATGTAACCCTGGCTGTCCTGGAAAACTCCCTCTGTAGACCAGGCTAGCCTTGAACTCAGAGATCCAACTGCTTCTGCCTCCCAAGTGCTGGAATTAAAGGTGTGTATCTCCACTGCCCGGATCAAGCTTTAATTTTTCTTTTGTGATGTATTTTATTTGTGTGTGTGTGTGTGTGTGTGTGTGTGTGTGTGTGTGTATGTGTGTCTGTGTGTGTTATCTGTGCATATGCCAGTGCCTATGTGCTGCACACCCCAGAAGAGAGCATTGGAACCTGGAGCTGAAGTTACAAACATTTGCAGATCATGAGTGCTGGAATCTGAACTCCAGGCCTTATGATGGAGCAGCAAGCACTCCTAATCACCAGGCCGTCTCTCCAGCTTGCTTCTCTCAGTGACCAGTCAGGGTCCTCCAGTCCCCTTCCGGCCCAGGACCCTTTAGGAGACACGCCTAAGCCATAGCATTCTCTGCTGCAGAATTCTTCCCTGTACATACAGGGCCCTTGCTGGCTCCAGGGCCTGGACACTGACTTGACTCTGCTCAGCTATCCTTCCTTTGGTTTGCTCTGCGGCTCACTGTGTACGGTCAAAGTCTATCATGGCAGCTGTTTCCTTTCATCTCTGACATTTCCGCTAGCTCACCTCCTGCTTTTAACCTGGTCAGAGGCAGGTGGCAGGTAGCTTGTCAGCAGTTACTCATCACATGATCCTAAACAAAGGGTCTGAGAGAGAGGGAGCCCCCACTGAGAATACTTCCATACTGGGGGCTGGACCTGCAGCTTAGGGGTAGAGTGGCCCTCAGATGACCATATAGGCCAGGGACTCCACTATGCTGTTCACAAGGACAGTTGCTCTCCCATTCCAGTCCAGTCCCAAAGACTATAGTTGGAAGTAACAGGTGATTAATAGGATCCCACCTCCTATCGTGACAGAAAGTGCAGATTTTTTTTTTAAGTCAAACTGTTTGAATTCTGGCCCTGCCATTAACTGGCATTGTGTCCTGGACCACAGATGTCACTCCCTTCTAAAAGGAGAAGATGTTTGTGTTGGACATCTTGGAAGACGAGGAGGTGCTGTTTTCTAAAGCTTTTGTCTGGTCGTGGTAACTCCCCTAGTGTCCTCCCCACTCCCTGTCCGCTTCAGGGATGGAACATGTCAGTGCTCCTCCCAACCATTCCACTGCTGCCCCAGCTGCCTCAGGCAAGCATGGCAAGGCTTGTTCAGGTAGGGGAGACTTGTCCTCAGCCTGTCAGAACTTTTGGGTAAATTCATCATGACAGACACTTACCTTCTCCCACAAGTCAGCTTGTGATGATCATTGCCCTTGGAGGACAGGAAGTCCCTGAGCGGCCCAGAGCAACCCTCATTCCCGACCTGTTTCTCCCTTGTGTCCATTTCCCTCTCCCAGGCAATTCTTGTAGAGACCCTGCTCCTGTGTTTGCCAGGGGCTCTGGGATAGCTCCAGCCAGCCTGGCCTGGTTGTGGCAACTCTCTTCTTGCTCCTAGAGTACTCCACCAGTGGGCTTCCAGGTAGGCATGAAGCTGGAAGCTGTGGACCGCATGAACCCCTCCCTCGTCTGTGTGGCCAGTGTGACAGATGTGGTGGACAGTCGCTTCCTGGTGCACTTTGATGACTGGGGCGATACTTACGACTACTGGTATGGGACCTGCTGGGAAGGAGACACCAGGGGCATCTTCTCTAGGACCTCAGACACCTAGTCCACCCCTGATATTTACATCTTTTTCCAGATTGGGAGAAGGGGGTGGGTAGTGAGCTGTCCCGTGTATCTGAGTGTCATGGGATATATGGCTCAGTTTTTCCCATTTTATCAGAAAATACCTTGGTTCAGATGCACACACATCCCTTCATAGACCTCCACTACCTATTATGGTGTGCTAGAGTTTTCAGTTAATGTGGTAGTGTTCTGACCCTGTGTTAGTCCTCCATCTCTCTCTCACACCAAGGATGCAGAAGTCCCCAGTACCATGCTGTGAGGACACCAGGCTCAGCCCTCCTCATTTGTCCTGAGACAATGATATACTCTTGGGTTTCAGGTGTGATCCCAGCAGCCCCTACATCCACCCAGTAGGCTGGTGCCAGAAGCAAGGAAAGCCCCTGACGCCTCCACAAGGTGAGGCTGCTGCCCGGGCATGCGTCCTTCCCAGGCCTGGTTCTCCCTCCTTGTCTATTAACACGTTAGACTCGTTCCCTGTACCTTGTTTGCAGGCCCTGTAGGATCAGAGTAGGGAACAAATAAGGCCTGGAGCCTTGACTTTTTGGGGTTTTGGAGAAGAAAGTTATATGACTACCTCAAGCATGTAGGGATCTCAACCAAAAAACATATGTCCTTCCTCCTAGGACCGCCACAGGCCCAAGAATAGGAGAGATTTGGATAGGACTAACTAGGTGCAGTAGGGTTGTAAGTGATGGAAGCTAGGATTCCAATAACTCTGAGCTTTTGGGGTTCTGTATGCTTTGTTCCCTCCGGGATCCATTTGCCCCAGAGCCCCATGCAAACAGCTAACTGTGGTCACATGGGAGAAGTGTCTTCTCCAAGAATCTCCAACCCTTCTATATTCGTTTGGTTGCAGTTGGTGGTGGTTTTTGTTGTTGTTGTTTTTGAGGCAGGGTTTTTCTGTGTAGCCCTGGCTGTCCTGGAACTGACTTTGTAAACCAGGTTGAACTCACAGAAATCCACCTGCCTCTGCCTCCCAAGTGCTGGGATTAACGGTGCGCCCTACCATGCCAGGCTTCCTTCCATGGTCTTGATCCTGACTGGGGACAGAGAGTTCCTTGAGTCACTTGGCTGGCTCAGATACTGTTCTCACCCTCTTCTCTAGACTACCCAGACCCTGACAGCTTCTGCTGGGAGAAATATCTAGAAGAAACTGGGACCTCAGCTGTGCCCACTTGGGCCTTCAAAGTGGTGAGTTGACTCTTGCCCTCTCCAAAACTGAGCTTAGGAAGATGTGGTCCTGTCAGTCAGCCAGCAAGGGGCCTTGGCCAAGACACAGTCTCCCCTGTAGCTCTCTTCTCAGAGCCTCAGATCTTCCAAGCTGAGCCTTAACCTGACGGAACTTGTCTCCCTACAGCGACCCCCTCACAGCTTCCTCGTCAACATGAAGCTGGAGGCTGTAGACCGCCGGAACCCAGCACTGATTCGTGTAGCCAGCGTGGAAGATGTGGAGGACCATCGGATAAAGGTGGCTCTGGGACCCTAGGCTGGGGACGGGGTGGACAGGTCAGTGGGACAGGAACTCTAGAGATCAATCAAAGTCATAGCACGAGATAGGAAGCTAAAGACCCCAGATCTCATTCTTTCCTTATCTGTGATTCACTTTTGTGGGCTTGGATAGGTCCCTTTGCCTCTCCAACCCAATGTTACCATCTGCAAAATGGGTCTAACCATCCTTGTCCTACATAAGGACTGGATGGAAATGATGACATTTTAACCAGTGACATGCTGAGAATACATGGCCAAAAGCAGTTACTGTGTAGGTGGCCCCTGTATTCTTCCTCTCCAAGGTCTTCACCTAGGCTTGGAGAGAACCCCTGAGCCCAGCCAACCTCCTGACTGAGCTGGCCTCCCAGAGCCATCCCTGACCCCCAAGGGCTTTTCTTCCTCAGCTCCACTTTGATGGCTGGAGTCACAACTATGATTTCTGGATTGATGCCGATCACCCAGACATCCACCCTGCAGGCTGGTGCTCCAAGACAGGACATCCCCTGGAGCCTCCTCTCCGTGTGTACCCCTAGGGCACTCTTCTCTTTCCCATTCCATCAATCTCAGACAACCCTGCCAGGGCTCCAGTGCCCTCAGTGAGCCTGGGATGCCTGTCCTCCTAACCAATCCCCAGGACTTCCTGCTATACTAAACCAAGGCATGCCCACAGGCCCCAGCAAAGTATACAAGAGCCAAACCTCCCTTCCCCACTGATAGCTGATACTCCATGGCAGGAACGGCACAGCTTGGCTCTGGGCCTGGTCTCCAAAGAACTAGTTCTGAATACTCTCCCCCTACATGGAAACTGTCACTTCCCTGTCCCACTCCCCTGTCTCCAGGACTCTGTGCCAACTTCTGTTTCTGCCTGTACAGGGCCCAGAGAGTCCAGCTCTGCCTCCCCTGGGGGATGCCCCCCTCTCAACCACAGGAGCCCACCCCACACAAAGACTTCCAAATATAGCTTTCACCACCGGTAAGTGAAGTCACAGGTGAGGCCCAGAGCAAGCAGGTATTGTTCAGGGAGTGTCTTTTACAACTCTGGAGTGAGACCCATCAGGACCTGAACAGGGCCAAGGCTAGGGAGCCTCTGTAGAGACGCTTGGTCCACCCAAGTAAAGCCTTCATCTCCCCAGGAAGTGCCCCACTCCTGGCTGTGACGGCTCCGGCCACGTCACTGGCAAGTTCACAGCTCACCACTGCCTCTCTGGCTGTCCACTGGCCGAGAAAAACCAGAGCCGGCTGAAAGCGGAGCTGTCCGACTCGGAGACCGCAGCCAGGAAGAAGAACCCGTCTAATTTGTCCCCAAGGAAAAAGCCTCGCCATCAAGGCCGGTGCGGAGGCCAGGGAGTCAGGTCCTGGGCTTCACGGGTGTGGGGCCTCCTGTCTTCTTGAGGCAGCCACTGATCCCCTGCTGCGGCCCTGGTCCCTCTCTCTCCAGGATTGGACGCCCTCCAAAGTATCGCAAGATTCCAGAAGAAGACCTCCAAGGTGAGTACAGGTTCCCCACCCCCACCCCCCGCGCTCAGGGTCTTGCAAGTGGGTGCACAGAATGCCCTGAGATGGATGGGATCAGACACCAGGGCACCAGGGAGAGGGGAGCTGGGAAGGAGGCTGCTGCTTTGAGTCTTTGGGTGCACAGAGCAGTGGTAAGAACACAGGATGAGGCCTTGAGTGCCATCTGTCCCTACAGACCTGCTAGGAGGCTTTAGAAATAGTTCTGTATTTCCCCAAGGTGGAGCAATGGCCCTGCTCCATGATTCTGTGGTTCCAGGCATCCTCCAGAGACTGTGGCTGTCAGTTGTGTGTCCAGCAAGTTGCTGGACACCTCAGAACCTCCCTTTCCTCACTTGAAAGCATGGCTGGATCCTACCTTTGTAGAGTCAGTGGCTGAAATGATGGAGCGCCCACTGCTTACCGAGCCAGGCTTTCTGTTCGCCCTCTCTGGCTCTCTGACCTCCTGCACTGTGTCTAACTAAGGAGCAGTGGGAGCTTCAGAGGCGAAATCATTTGCTCGGGGTCATTCACCTTGTGAGGGACTGAGGTGTCTCATTGTGTATCCAGATTCCTTGATCCTGGTGACATCAGTCAGATTCTGAGGTTGATAAGAGTTCACTGTGTGGTGTGGTGTGTGGCTAAGGAGGTCTGGTTAAAGTGTTCAGCCCTCCTTAACAGGCTAGCCCAGGGGCAGGCTATGGTCCCTTTTCTGCCTGCCCGTGGTGCGCATGGTCAGCTCCCTACTGCAGGAATACATTCTAACCACTAGAGGGCCCATCCCGATTGCTGAATGTGCATAGTTCTTTGGTTTGTGTGTATGTGTGTGTGTGTGTGTGTGTGTGTGTGTGTGTGTGTGTGTGTGTATACGCATGTTATGATGTGCACATGGAGATCAGAGGTCACTTCATAGTGTCAGTTCTCTCTTTCTACCCTTATATGGGTTTGGGGAATCCAATTCAAATTCTCAGGTTTACACAGCAAGTACTTTAAGTACCTTTATCTGCTAAGCCATCTTGCCAGCTCGGAAATCAGTCTTTCCCGATGGTTGTCGCTGTAGCCCAAAGGAGAAGAAAGGTCTCAGGACTCACCTGAGCCACTGAGGCATCTCAAGGACAGAGCCTAGGTGTCTCACCTCCATAGAGGGCTCCCTGCTGCACCAGTAGGCCTTTAACCAAAAAGGGACAGCCTGGCCACAGCGAACCCTTCTAGAGGAGACTCCTCCCACATCTATGGCAGACCTCAATATAGGTACACGTCTTTCACCTCAGTGAAAAAAACTTTTCTCTGTGTGGATAGGTGTTTTGTTTTTTTTTAATGCTATAAGTGCTTAAGAGAGTCTCACTCTGCTCTGAGGACTAAGATTGGACCCAGGGCATCAAAAGGGGTTTGCATGGGAGAGAACCTAAGTTATGGCGAGTAAGGGAGACATAGCCATCGGGTTGTAGCGGGAGCTGGCCATCAGTCCCAGGGCACAGCCCCACAGTGCTGCTTAGGTGAGCAGTGCACAGGCTGAGATCCAAAGACTGGAGGGAATGACAGGCAGGCCATAGTCGAATCCTAAAGACCTGGGGTAGAGATACAAGGAGCCAAGAGGCTGAGGCTTAGGGAGCGAGGTGGAGAGGGACGGTCTATAGCAGGCAGGGGCTGCCATAGAGAATATGGCATCAGAAGTGTGGCATTCTGCACCCAGAATTAGTAGCAAGCACTAAAAAAGAACAGTTACCGTGAACTCTGGACCAAAGCACAGTAAAGCGTGCAGGAAAATAGCCAAGCTGCCTGAGGTCCCTGGACCTGCTGGAGAGGATGGGGTCAGGTGATCAGCCAAGGAATCACGTAAAGTCCAAGGGACGAGCGACAGGCCTGTTAAGGAGGAAGCCAAGCAGAGTAGCATCCGTCAGTCACCTGACCCATAGAGCCAGGGCTTCCTGAGCAGATCAGTAAGCAAGTGCTAGGCAGCCCAGGGTTGGAGAGCTGATAACTCATTCTCTAGGGCAAGAATCACCCTAGGCTAAGAGAACTGATCAGAGTTCAAAAGGACTTCAGAAAGGACACACAGAACTCATCTCTGATGTAGGGGATGAACTTGCTTGGACACTGGAGACTACTTGAGACCAACAGTTCCAAGAGAGCGTCCTCATAAGTCTCAGAGTGCTGGGATCACTCTAGACAGTGGGTGCTGAAGTCTGGGAGCAAGCAATCCATTTGCCCAGCAGGAATAAGTACCAGATCACCCACGTGACTCTGCAGGCTTTCAGAAGGGGCCATGTCCCCTGTGACACAGATATGGGCTGTCCCTACTTCTGCCCATCGTGCTCTGCTTCTGCCTTCTAGCCCTCCCTCCCAGTGTGGTACACCAGTCCCTCTTCATGTCCAGCTTGCCAGCCCACGCTGATCGCCCACTCTCTGTGAGCTGGGAGCAACACTGTAAGCTATTGCCTGGAGTGGCGGGCATCTCAGCCTCCACAGTCTCCAAGTGGACCATTGAAGAGGTACAGAACCTTTCCTCAGCTGCCTCCTTCTCCTCCTCCTCCTCCTCCTCCTCCTCTTCCTCCTCCTGCTCTTTTTCCTTCTCCTCCTCCTTTTCCTTGTCCTCCTCTTCCTCCTCCTCCTCTTCCTCCTCCTCTTCCTCTTCCTCCTCCTTTTCTTCCTCCTCCTCTTTTTCCTCCTCCTCCTCCTTCTCTTCCTCCTCATCTTCCTCCTCTTCCTCCTTCTCCTTCTCCTCCTCTTCTTCCTGCCCTAAGTCTCCTTCTAAACCACACCTTAGCAGGAATCTCAGGCCAGGGCCTGCTCAGATGGAGCTGCATACTACTCCCGACCCAGTGTTCATCCCTCCTAGCCACAGTCCCTCGAGCTGCCCAACAAGGCTGACCAAAATAGGTCCCTTGTGGTGGATAGAAAGGGTGCATTCTGTCAGCCACACTTTAAGGAACAAGGGACCTTCCCTCATGTGCCTTAAGACTTGAGGATCCTCTGGGGCTGATAAGAAAGAACCTGCTGGCACAGTTTAAGGGCACCAAGACCATGTAGTCTCAAACCCCTCCCCTAGTTCTCATCCCCTGCTCAATATATCTCCCTTGGTTTCCAAGGTCTTTGGCTTCGTTCAGACCTTGACGGGTTCTGAGGATCAAGCTCGCCTCTTCAAAGATGAGGTAAGGTACACGTGCGAGAGACAGAGATGAAGTCACTGCCACTGAGCTGGCAAGAAACTGTTACCCTCACCAGCCTTATCTGAGCCCGAGAGGGGCCTCTGACCAAATTCTGTGGGAGAAATCTTGTAGGGACTGTGGTCCAGCTTGGGGGTGCTGTGTTCAGATTCCCGTTGGGAAGGAATCTGTTTGCTCTCGTTCTCTCCGCCCGGGGTTGTTTGAATTGAAGCATTTCACAGATGGGATGTTGGGGAGAGAACCCAGCTTGGACCAGGCTAAGCAGCTACTCCACGATTGAGCCACACCCCTACATACCACTGAGCCCAAAGCAGATATCAGTGGCGTAGGTGTAGGTGTTTGCTGGAGAGAGTCTAACTCACTACAGCACCCCCAGAGCTTAGGAAAGATGTGAAGCCATGAGTTACAGGGAGAATGCCAGGTGTGACAAGCAGTCTGGGCTGGAATCCTAGCTCCATCTTGAGCATCTTGTCTCCGAGCACACATCTTCCTGTTTTTGTGATAGAGGTAGAGCAAGTGCACTGAGGGCTGCCTTGCAAGTCATTATGAACTTCAGTAAGAAGGAGTGAGTCTTCACAGCAATAGATCTGGCAGGATCCTATCCCTGGCACATGTGTACATCTCTCCAGCAACATTACAGAATCAAATAGAAACCCCATCACTATACCAAAAGTCCAGTATGGGGGAGACCTCTATAAGCGGTAGTCTGACTTTTTGTGCACAGTTGTTCTTAAATAAAGAACTTTATTTGTGACTCTTTTAATTTGTAGAGTTTGAAACTAGAAGGAGCCCTTGAGTGTGTTTAAGGCCTCCTTCCAAAACAACAGAAGCATTCCCCTGCAGCAGCACAGTGTGGTCTCTGGTCTTGCCCCTGTACTGCCCATCTTATTTATGCTCTCTGGGTGTCCAGACTGACTCCTATTTCTAGAACATTCTGACCAACATGGAGCAAATGCACTGAGCTCCTTCTCCCTGGGATGGCTTTCTCTTCTTTTTCCCCACTTTCATTTCCTTGGGGTTTGGTTTGGTTTGGTTTGGTTTGGTTTGGTTTGGTTTGGTTTGGTTTGGTTTGGTTTGGTTTTGGTGCTTGGAATTAACCCCACTCTTCTTGCATGCTAAGACTGTTCTTTACCACTGCTCAGTAGCGACTCATCCACCCACCCACTCCAGATGACTGAGGTGAATAGCCAGTGCCACATGTTTTATGAAACAAGTGAACTTGAGTCCACTATCATTAAGATAGAACACCCCCATTATATCAGAAAGTTCTGCCTCAGCGCCTTCTGGTCAGGCCTTACCCCAAAACATAACCGCTGTAGATTGTCAATTTTTCTTTTCATTTTTTAGCGCTGTGGATTTATAGCACTGTAGATTGGCTTTGCCTGTTCTTGAACTGTGTGGACAGGATCAGACAGCAGGTGCTCTGTGGGTCTCTCCTGTAGTGTCCGGAGGGGGGACATTGTGTAATGCTGCATACACTCAGGGTTTTTCTCTATTTAATGCTCAAATGGCAGTTCTCCTGTTCATGGACATTTAAATGTTTCCCCTTCTGAGTCCTTTGCCTCAAACAACCCCCTTCCCCTGCTTTCTTCACCCCATTCCCTCCCCACAGCTGGCTTTTCTCCTCCCTCACTTCAGCCTTTCACACACCTGCTTCATCTGTCTGGGGATGAAGTTGTTTGAAGTAAATTACAGGCATCACAGTATTTCACCCCTGACCCCTTCACCCCTGACCCCTGCAACTCGTGACTTTTTTTATACAATGGTGTTATTGCGTAAGCAAACAATCAGTGCTAGCTCCTCCGACCGTTCACGCCCTGCCCATCCCCACATTTTCCGTCACCTCAGAACATTTTAAAAAGTCATTCTTGAGCCAAGTTAAGGCCCACATAAATTATTTGATGTGTTTTGTAGCCCTTCAGTATCTCCCATTCTGGAATAGTACTCTCTTTTTTTTCTTTGTAACATTTTTAAATGTTTAGGAGTCAGAACCAGCAAGTTGGCTAATAAGCAGGTAAAGGTGCTGCTTGGCACCAAGCTTGAAGACCTGAGTTTGATCCCTGAGACTCCCACGATGGAGGGAGAGCGCCGACTCCCGGAAATTGCCTCTTGGCCCCCACATGCATGTAGTAACATGTACACATCGAGCACTAACACCCACACTCATGCATACACAAAATAAATAACTTTAATAGAAAAAATTAAAACTAGAATCAGATCCAAAGGCTTGTTTACATTCACGTATTCTGCGTCTCTCTGATTTGGGGGCAGGAATAGGTCAGAGGTAACAACAAACCCCATGCGATAGCCCTCAAGATCCAGTGTCTGCCCAGCTTGCTATTCGGAACCCTGAGCTTGACAGGTGGTCCCCATGGGCTGCTGTGGGGTTTCTGTTGTCTTTGTTTTTGTTTGTCTTTGCTCTGGTTTGGCTTCAGGCATTTCACAAATGCTAGATCACAGGCGTAGGTATGGAGGCTGTTGCCCAGGTTACGAAATAAGTCCAGGCAGCGTTTTTTTTTTTGCTTTTTTTTTTTTTGTTTTGTTTTTGTTTTTTTTTTTAAGCTGATGACTAATGAATGAAGCTGCTTAGACCAGGAGCCAGGCTGGCTCCCAGGGCTGGCTTGTGACCTGTGCAGCGACATCCTGGGGCCCTGTGCTTAGAAGAACCTGGTAGTTGGCTTCGTGCTCAGCTGTCACTATTTTGAAATTCTTACTAACTTTCAAACAAGGAGCTCCGTGTTGTCGTTTGCCAGCAAGCCCCACAACTGTGTCAGCAGCAACTGGTTTCTCGAAGCTACTGTCTATAAGGGCTTCAAGGACGCTTTTTCCAGAGCAGATACTGACACAGACTAGTCAGCAGAAAGACAAAGAAAAACTTTATGTGTGTGATGGCGGGGACCAGGTTTCTTGCTTTCCTTCTCCGGCCCCATTGTTGTCTTCCTTCTCTCCTTTCTCCCTCCCTTGTCCTTTCTCTTTGCCCTCCCTCCTCCTCCCCTCCCCACCTGCCATGTGCCCTTTCTCTCCTCCTCTCCGCCCCCACCTGCCTTTCACCTCACCTCCACCATGCCTGACCTCTCCCCCACATATCTTTCCCCCCTCCTCCGATCCCCTCCTCACTCTCCCACCCCCTCAGATGATTGACGGCGAGGCCTTCCTTTTGCTGACACAGGCGGACATTGTGAAGATCATGAGTGTCAAGCTGGGCCCAGCCTTGAAGATCTATAACGCCATTCTCATGTTCAAAAACACTGACGATGCCTTTAAGTGACTGGTTGGGGCGGAGGGGGGAATCCTCCCATCCTTACTGGGTTCCCTCTGCAGACGGTGCTTCTCTCCCAACTTGAGTTCTGCACTCCTGTCCTCACTGTTCTGGAGCAGAGGAGCCTGAGGAAGGAGGTCTCAGCCCCCAGTCCTGGAGTTATTTGTCTCCAGTTGCCCCAGGGAGGGTGTGACTAAGGCCTGACTGATAGAAAGGACCGCAGGTGTCCTGGCTAGGGCAGCCTGCATCTTCAGCCATCTTGGTTACTGACTTAGGAGGTTAGGTGGAGCTGCCTAAAATAAGCATCCTCTATGCAGAACCTATGTCCTTTTGTCATCTCTATGTCCTTTCTCCTCCTTGGCACTTCTCCTCCTACTAAGAAATGACCATGATCTTGGCATACATGCTTACACGTGAAAGGTGCCTCCCTGTCTGCTGTTGGCTGTGTACCCTTGCTCTCCGTCCATGGACAACCCAGGCCCCATGGCTCTTCCTCTGTAGATGCTTAAGTCTCTGACATATGGGAGCTTCCTACTAGGAGCCTCTGGCTGTCTTTTCCCTTTTGCCTCTAGGCAGAGATGCAGAGCCAAGGCACCCTTCATGAACACTTTCAGTGCAGGATCACTCAGCATGGAGTGGGCGGTACGGAGTGAGCAGATGGTTAGAGCCCATGGCATAACAATCAGGGCCTAAGTTCCCTGATGCTGTCTCTGTTGGGTGTGGGAGAGATAAAGTCTGGCCTAACAAGCAGTCCAGGCTAGACCGTCAGACACATTGGAGTCTTCGACCTCAAGTATAGCTCCAGAAAGTGTGATGGCAGCCTCATTCTATCTGTGTCTGTGAATCTCAGCCAAGATATTACACATGAGGGAGAGGCCCCTGCCAGCCCAGCCTCCTGCCAGGAGGGTGTGGTACTGGCTAGCACACAACCCCTGTGACGTCACCTTCACTCCGTTTCTTAAATATTTCTCATTTTGCTCTCTAGTCTGACGAAGGCCACTTACAGTAGAGAGTTGGAAAGGTCCCCTCTCCTGTCTCTGAGCTCTTGGGCCCTTCTTGCCAGTCTCCAACAGTCTCTCACTGCCAGCTAGGCTCCTGCTGGGGCTCTGGGACTTGGACCTTTCTGTCCAAGTGGAGGTTCATCTTCCACTCTGTTACTGCCAAGCCCGCCTCCCAGCCTGAGTGGGGAGTGCCAGAGCCCAGGGGGAGCCACCCCTCCAGTAGATGGGAGCCGGTGCCAAACTTCATCTGGTGCTGAGATGGGCCTGCTGGCTGAAGAGCAGGGTTGTCGCCCTCTCCAGTATACTTATAAGTCATGTGGTCTATCTATCTATCTATCTATCTATCTATCTATCTATCTATCTATCTATCTATCTCTGTGTGTGTGTGTGTGTGTGTCTCGCGCGCATGCGTGCGCACACACGTGTTGGTCTCTCAGCAGTATCTGTCAGGTGCAGGTGTGAGGTGCAGTCCTGGGACTATGAAGGGCTACTGTTAAGCTATGAGGCTTTATTACTTCCTCAGAAAGGGGAAGCCAAAAGTCCTATTGATTTCCTGTTTCAGTGCTTTGGGGACCTCCCCTCCCTAGGCCAGACAGCTTCTGGGGGATAGCCAAGTGGCACCCAGCTAGCCTGCCAAAGGCTCAGATTTCCTTTCCCCTTCAGCCCTCAGGGGGTAACTTTCTGGGAGGACATTGGGCAAGGTTGGCCAAGTGAGGAGGGAGGGCTAGGTTGACAGATGTGACATCACTGCCCCTTTGCTGGAAATAAGGAGGTGCCAATCTCTCTCAGTTGTCTGGGTTGCACTGGAAATTGCCACCTCCTGGCCTTTAGCCCGCCCTGCCACACACTGACTAGTCTGAGAGAGCAGCAAATGTTCTGTGTTCTTATCTGGTGCTGTGAGACCACACAGTTCCCAGGAGAGGGACTGCACAGCCTTTGCCATGCAGCCCTGCTCAGTGATGGTTGCCTGTGGAAAAGACCAGACGGCCTTGGAAAAGAAGACTCGCAGCCTCCCAGCTCTAGGCCACACCCCTTCTGCACTAATATCAGAAACCAAATCTTAAAAGTCAAAAGAAACCTACCTTCCAACCATCCCCCAACCCATCCACCCCACTGGGTCCCCAGATAAGACCATTGCACCTTAACCTGGGAGTGCAGGCAGTGGGTGACTGTTTCTGGCACTTGGACCCTGGACTCCAGCAACAGGAACTACGTATACTTTGTCCCCAATAGACTTGTCCAACCTCTGCCCAGCCCTGGCCTAGGACAGAGATGAACTTTGTTTATTTTCTGAGGCAGAGATGATGGTCCCAGAGTCTGAAAATGAAACCTGTTTGCACCTTCATTCATACGCACTATGATGGGGTTACACTTATTTTTTACTTGCTCTGTGTGTCTGTGTGTGTGTTCTCTCTCTGTGTCTGTCTGTCTGTCTGTCTGTGTGTGTATGCTCTCGAGCGTACAGTCTTAAAGAGAACCCTCTGGTTTAAACTAAAGTGACTGACTCTTGAAAGAAGAAACGTTACAAACAAAATATAGTATGGCTTGTCTGTGTATTGAAAACAACATAAATAAATAAATGGTTGACTGGTCTGCAGCTGGAATCTGTTTCTCTTTTTGTGGTGAAATCCCCAGAACACACGGGTGAACAGCAGTGCTACCGTGTCTGAGGAGACTAATTCCTTCCCTCTGCTCCTAGGTAGAAGGCTTAGAGCAGTGGTTCTCAACCTGTGGGTTGCAACCCCTTTGTAGGTAGAACAACCCTTTCACAGGGGTAGCCTAAGACCACTGGAAAACATAGACATGTCTACATTATGATTCATGACAGTGGCAAAATTAGTTACGAAGTAGCAACGAAAGTAATGTTAAGGCTGGGAATCACCACAACGTGAGGAACTCTGTTGTGTCACAGCATTAGAAAGGGAGGACCACTCCCCTAAAGAATCTGAATTTTAGGCCTTCAAGAGTCAGACATATTCAGAGGCAGATGCTCACAACTAGCCATTGAACTGATCATGGGGTTCTCAATAGAGGAGTTAGAGTGAAGACTGAAGGAGCTGAAAGGGTTTGCGGCACCATGAGGAGAGCAACAATACCAACCAACCACAGCTCCCAGGGTCTAAACCACCAGCCTGGGAGCACTTAGGGGGGGGATCCAGGGCTTCAGCTGAATATGTAAAAGTGGAGGGCCCTGCTGGGCATAGGTGGAAGAAGAGAACCTTGACCTCATGAAGGCTGGATGCCCCAGGGGGTGGGAATTTTGAGGGTGGGGTCGGGGGGAGTGGGGGGGGTAGATAGAGGTTACATCCACAGAGAAGAAGGAGGAGGGGCGAGGGGATTGGGGGTTCCGAGGGGGTGGTGGGGGATGGGGTAAGGGGACAACATAGGAAATGTAAATAAATCATCCAATAAAAAAAAATAAAAATAAAAAAAAAGTGAAAAAAAAAAGAATCTGAATTTTATACTTTAAAGGCTCCGGTTTATAAAAATGCACATGTATTGAAAGGAGAAAGCCAAATTGAGACTGCAGAAGGGATTTCCTGTTTAGAAACACCTGCCTAGGAACGTGTCCTCACAGTAGGCCACTGAGGTACACAGAGGCTGTGGTAAAGTGAGCCAGACTGACAGGGGAACTTGGCACTAGTTTTGCAAGCAGAAGAGGTATGAGTGTGGTGGGGTCATGGAAACTTACTCCAAGGTTCCAGAAAGTTGCCAAGGCCAGGCAGTGTGCTGTAGGGCCAGATTTTCCAGAAGGAGGCCTTGAGTGGCCACTGTATGAATCAATAAGGGTGAACGAACCCCAAGTTACAATGAAGACATCAAAATTTTTGAGATGCCAGGACTTTGGGGTCTCCTCCAAGGAACGCTGCAGGTCTGGAGTAGAACTAGGCTAAGTTAGGTTATCTGGGTCCCAGGAGGCAGAGCGGGAGATGCGGGGTACTGAAGGCTCTGAGAGCCCAGGTAGTTCCACCAAGAGCTCCAGATGCCGGATGCGGAGCTTTGGGATTTGGTGTTAGCTGAGAGTGAGCTGTTTACTGGAGCGCTTGCCTAGCACACAGGAAGTAGAGCGCTTGCCTAGCACACGGAAGCCTGGGGTTGATCCCCAACACCCAGTGAGCCAGGCCTGGGGGTGTGCCTCCACAGTCCCAGCACTCAGGCCATTTTGCTACGTCGTGAGTAAGCCTGGGGGTATGCCTCCACAGTTCCAGCACTGAGGCCATTTTGCTACGCCGTGAGTTTGAGGTAGGTTCTCATGAAATGATATCTCTAAGGAGAAAAGAGAAAAAAAACTGTATAACTACATACCTGCTTGTCTTAAAATTGTAATCCAGAGAAAGATCCTGAGTTCAACTCCCAGCAACCACATGGTGGCTCACAACCATCTGTGATGGGATCCGATGCCCTCTCCTGGTGTGTCTGAAGACCACGACAGTGTACTCAAATATATAAAATAAACTTTTTTTTTTTTTTTTTTTTTTTTTTTTAGAAAAGTGTAATCAACTGGGGATGAGAGTTTCCTTGGTGGTTAAGAACCTGACTGTTCTTGCAAAGGACCCAGATTCAATTCCCAGCATGCACATGGCAGCTCCCAACTGTTTATACCTCCAGGTCTAGGTGAGCTGACACCTCCAGGCACCAGGCATGCACTCACCGTACAGATATACATGCCAGAAAAATCACTACATGGCACAGAGGTGTGTATGCTCAATAAATATCTGTTGAACAATTAAATCCGGGCTGGGAGATGACTCGGTCCGTAAAGTGCCTGCCTAGCAAGGTGAAGATCGAAGCTCAGATTCCTGGAAGCTTATCGGCCAGCTGGTCTAGCCTATTTGATGAGGACCTAAGGCCTCAGAACCAACACAGGATTTTTCTTTGACTATCCATCCCAGATATGTGCACCCATACACGTACAAATAAGCACACGCAGACACACATTTTTTAAAAAAATTAAAAGCATAAGCAGTAAGAACTCCTGGGGTCTAATAATGATGTTTTATATAAATAGTCAAGGCCAGAAAATTCAATGGTGCCTCCAATTTTAAAATTAGCGTGAAGCTTTCTGGTGTTGAAATGTCAACCTGGAGGACTCGACTTTATGGTTACCAGTCATACACAGTCATTGTAACCGTCTCATCAAAATCTTTAACTCCTTTGCTCTTTGCCCTTCCAAACCACGTGACTAAGAGAACACCAACCATGGAGCTATCCAAGAGCTCGACATCATCCTCTAGAGCAGGAATGTCCCAGACTGGACAGATTAGCGTCAAGGTGGACTGGTGGCCCCAGGCTTCTACAAATGGAACTCCCATGGCTATCAGGGACAGCTGCGCTTTAAGGGGCTTGGCCTCACTTCCCTTTACATGGTCCTAGAGCCTCCTCGCCATGACATTTCCCATCATCTCCTGTATGGCCTCCGCTATTGATGTCACAGGAAACAGAGCTTACTCCTCCCTGCCCCCATCTCTTTTCCTCCTCTTCTATCTCTGTGTAAAAGTTGATTCTTCTTCCTGGAAGCTAATCCTTGACCAGCTAGCTGCAATAAAAGAAACACTGACATGTAAGGAAAGGCTTTGGAACATTCCAATGTGATTGCAGAAATAAAATTTTAATACACGGGTCAAAAGATAAAGCACAGGACACTCTTAGAAAGAATATGGGATTAGAGGGTGCCTGCAATCCTGGTAGCCAGTGATCCTCACCCTCAGGAGGCAGAGGCAGGAAGATTGCACACGTTCAAGGATAGTCTGTCTCCAAGCACACAAAAACAATGAGATGAAAATAGAAAAAAATATTTGAAAATAGATGAGTCAAGCATTGAGTTTTATATTAATAAACTCGGAGCTGGAGCGATGGATCAGCAGTTAAGACACAGAGGACCTGTGTTCAAGCTCACAAGCATCTGTAACTAGTTCCAGAGCATCCGACACTCTCTTCTGGCCTCCTTGGGGCACCAGGTATGCATGTGGTACACAGACCTTCATGCAGGCAAAACATCCACACACACACACATAAAAAAATAAAACTAAGGAAAAAAGGAACTATTCTAGAATTGAGATCTGTTAGTGTCCAAACTGAAAGGTCACACTGAGAGTGTCAGGACAGGGAGCAATAGCATCCTGCAATACTGTAAAATATCAGGAATTAAAAGAAGATATATAAAAAGAAGATAGGAAAGCTTCCAGGGAGAATAAAGCTAAGGAATAATGTGAGTGATAACGTCATTGGGTTTCTCTCCAACAATTGCTGAAACAACAGTAGAACTGTATCTTAACTAGTTTAAAGGAGAAGAGATAATGGAGTAGTTAAGTGGGTAGGATGTGTGTCTATCTCTCAGGCACCCAAGTTATAGCTGTATACCCAAATGTATATCTAAGAGTATAGTTGTACCCAAGGTGAGGTTGTCAATCAATCACAAGGGCAGAAGAACATTGACAAGCATACAACTCTTCAGACTTTTACTCCTGTGCACCTGTCCTCATGCTCTTCATTAAAATTTGAAAGTAGCTGGCCAAGGTGGCACCTGCCTTTAATCCCAAGCACTTGGGAAGTAGAAGTAGGCAGAGCTCTGTGAGTTTGAGGCCAGCCTGGTTTACATAAAAAGTTTCATGCCTGCCAGAGTTACCTGGTAAGAACCTATCTCAAAGGCTCCCCACCTCAAAAAGGAGAAAGAGAGAAAAAATATGTAGGTTTTTTTTTTTTTGAAACAAGGTTTCTTTGTGTAGCTCTGGCTGTCCTGGAACTCACTCTGTGGACCAGGTTGGCCTTGAATTCACAGAGATCCATCTGCCTCTGCCTCCAGAGTCTCAAAAAACCAAAAAGATAATCTAGGTGATAATACATTAATAAAACATGAGAGAAACAAGTAATAATCTCAAATGACACAAAAAAGCATCTGACAAAATTCAACATTCTCTCATGAGAAAAATGTTCAGAAAAACATGAAGTAAACGTATACCATATGACAAAGGGAATCTGCACAGAGTCCACAGCAAGTACCACACTCGGTGAGGAAAGCCAAACGTTTCTGTCAAAGGTCAAGAACAAGACCAGGACTCCTGCTTTCTCCACTGCTATTCTGCCTCATAGTAGATGTTTCGGCTAGAGAAACTAGATAAGAAAAATAAATTTAAAAAATCCAAGTCAAAAAATAAGTAAAATTATGTTCAGAAATAATACGATCTTCTCTCCAGAAAAGTCCCAAATCAATGAACCCATTAGGCTGCAGAACTATCAAACTAGTTCATCGGAGAAAGAAGATCAACAGGCAAAAAACAGTTGCATTTTTATCCACCTGCAATGACCAGGCCAAAAATGTGTCAACATCTCACAGCTGTACTAATTATCCCACAGCAAAGCACAGAGGGAGCACTTTCCAAAGTCAGTGGCTCTTAATGTCACTCAGTTGCACATTAGGGATGGTTAGAATGGTAAATACCACCTAATATATATTTACCACTGTGAGGCCCAACCAACTCCATTTTTGAGAAGAAGCTCTGTTTTGTGCAAAGGAGCTAAACTCCAAGTTCAGGAAGAAAACTACAAAGGCCACTTGAGCAAACATCCTATGGCAACCTCCACCCTCCCTTAGCAACACCCAGTCAGGCTACAGCAGCAGGGCCAAGGTACATAGAGATAACCTAAGACATCCCGCAGAGAATAGATAACCTAGCCATCCTGTGTGTCAGGTGGGTTTGCCCCCATGTTTGGTTCCTGCAGATTACACCAGAAATGCAGCTTTTAAAATATTAACTTGCTGACCCGTATGGAAATTCTCCAAGCTTGCTGTAGCCACAATAAATACCGTGCACCCCTAGACTCAGACTGTCACCTCTGACCCACTGTGACAATGATAGTGAGAGTTCTTGCTCATTAGCTCGTAATAAAGACCCTTTTGTGTTTGCATCGGTGGTCTTTGGGGTCCCTGCGACTTGGGCATAACATCCACAATAAAGTAATTTCTGTATGTGAGTGTGGGTATGCACATGCCTCTTGGAGTGTGTGTCGGAAGGTCAGAGGACAGTCCTGGATGTCGATCCTCACCTTCCACCGTGTTTGAGATAGGATATCTCTTGTTCACCACTTTGTACACTGTACACTGTACACTGAACTAGCCGGCCTGGGAGCTTCTGGTTATCCAGTCTCCAGTTCAGCCTCCTAGTAGGGCCTCATTGGGATGACAGATACTTGAGTTACTTTATCCAGCTTTTACTTAGTTTGGGGGACCAGACCTGACTCCACAGGCTTATCAAGCCATGACCTCACCCATGGAGCCATCTCCCTGGTTCACAATAAGATAATTGGTAAGGGGAGTACATAGGCTCCATTGAGCAGGCATTATATGAAGGGAATGCATAGGCTCCATTGAGCAGGCTCTTAAACAAGAGAGGTACAGTGGTGGGAAAGGAAGAGCCAGGATGATACCAGACACTGTGTGTGACAAACAGGAGAATGAAAAGGACCAGAAAGGATGGGAAAGGTCTGAATAAACTGACTGACAAATTAAGAATATGCTATTTTTTTATCAGAATTATGTATGGTAATGCATAATTCTGGGTAAGGATGTTCGATATGTAGTCATGCACCACACAGTGATATCATGGTCAATAATTCTACCATAATTAGGACAATTGATCATATAACATTAACTCTAGTAACAAACACTATGTCTATCTTAGTTTATGGAGGATACTCTATGATCCTCATAGAAGAACATCTAATAATACACAGATCATATACCCATCATCAAGCAATCTGAGATATATGTATATTCTTTCTACGTATACATATATATATATATATATATATATATATATATATATATATATTCTGCACACATAGGCAATTTTTCAAGCCATTTATCTCAAGGGTTCTTCCTCTTCTTCCTCCTCCTCTTCCTCCTCCTCCTCTTCCTTCCTCCTCTTTTTCCTCTTCTTCTTCCCCCTCTTCTTCATCCTCTTCTTTTTTGTTTTTTTTTTTAGACAGGGTTTCTCTGTGCAGCCCTGGCTGTCCTAGAACTCACACTATAGATCAGAATACTCTCAAACTTGAGATCTGTCCACCAAAAGTAAGTTGGGAAGGAAGGACTTACTTCATCTTATACTTCCAGATAACAGTCCATCACTGAGGGAAGTCAGCAGAGATCATGAAGAAACACTCTTTTCTGGCTTGCTGCCCATGACTTCTGAAATCTTCTTACTTGTAACATTCAGGACCACTAGCTCAGGGGTGGCACCACCCATGATGAGCTAGACCTTCCTACATCAACCACTAGTCAAGACAATACCCACAGACTTGCCTAGAGGCCAAACTTATAGAGGCATTTTATCAGTTAAAATTTCCCCTTTTTAGATACATGTAGGTTTGTGTCCAATTGATAAAAAAAACAACCAGCAGCTGAAGCAACCATAGGTTAATTTGTGGAAAGAATCAGAAATATGTGTTTGGATGGAGAAAACCTAAACATTCATTCTCAGGAGCTGAGAGGAAACCACCTGATGACATACCGAACTAAAAGACAGAGGAAAAATATATGCCAATTATTTAGACACATGGGAGTGACCACTGCATGAGGTATGAGAAAGGAAGATATACTTCATTATTTCCCTAATAGGCCTGTTTTATTGTGTGTAAGCCTGCTCTCTCAAGAGTTCTGTTTCCAGCTCATGTGGGTTGCAGTTTTCTGGGCTGACTGGGTAGAAGTTTTCTGGACTTGTGTGTGAACATGTGGTTCACTCTGCCTGTGGATGGGTCTGCAGGCAGCCATAGTGGAGGGTGGAGAAGTCAAGCCAAAGGCCCAAGTATATCAAGTTAGGGAGAGTATTCATGGAGATACATCTGCACTGGTTCAGTGTCATGTGTCCTCGTCTTCGTCCCCAAGAAGATATCTTTTTGTTAAATTTATTTTCACTCTATTCATGGGAGTGTTTTGCATGTATGTAAGTGCACCAAGAAAAGAGTGTCCTCCAGAACTGAAGTTTCAGATGTTTGAAGCTGCCACATGGGTGCTGGGAACTGATCTTAGGTCTGTGTAAGAGCAGCCAGGGCTTTTAACCACTGAGCCATCCAGCCCCAAGAATGTATCTTTGACCTTTATACCCACACAACAGAGTTCATGCAAGAAGGAGGGAAGGGAAAGGAAGAAGGAAGGGAGCTGGGAGAAGGTGTGTACGGCAACACAGGAGAGATCTTGGCTATTTTCTACAGGTCACAGAGAAAGAAGGACAAGTTCGACCGTGGCGGGGAGCCATGTTGATTGTTATAGTAAGTTGGTAGATGGGTTAATAATTCCCAGTTATAGGACATACAGAACTGTTAGTAGAGGACCACAGCTGTTCTCTGAGGATCTTGTTTAAAGTATCATAAAATTAGTAACACCACAAATGCTCAATGACAAAGAACTGAGAAAGGATGGTGAACTAAGGCCACCTGAGGGCTCTGCAGGGCATGGGAGCAGTGGTTTTTATAAGGCACTAAGCTTGACCATTGAGTTGTTGGTGTTTTGTTTGGTTTGGTTTTTAAACAGAGTCGATGGTGACCAGCTGTGGAAGTCGCTTGTACAGAGTACTCCCTTAGCATATGCAGAGTGCTGGCTTTGATCTCCAGCATTACATAAATTCTGGACATGATAGTACTACCGGTAATCCCAGTACTTGAGAGGTAGAGTGGGGGAACCAGAAGTTTGAAATCGATCTCAGTTTTATAGAGAGTTCCAGGCCAACCTAGAATACGTGGCACACCGTTTTAAACAGAGTGAAATCAAACTCTAAACACTGAAATCAAAATCAAACACTGTAGAGAGGTCACTTGGAATATCTTGTTCCCACCTGCCCAGTTGCCTGACCCTGCCCCCTCCCTGAGGCAGAATGCCTGGCCTGGCAGCTTCTCATCATTCACAGAAAATTCCTTCAGTTGAAGCTGAGCCCGGTGTGGTGTCTGACCCTCAGGTTCCTAACATTCAGTTCAGGACCTCGACTCCACCCCATTCGCATTCTTCTCCTAACATAGTGTCAGGGTAGCTGAACCTTGGGTGGTTAGGCAGCAGCTCAATGCAAGAGAGAATGAGAGGTGTCTGGCAATCCAGCGAGACACTGCAGGAACCAGCTGCCTAGTCCCGAAAGCTATCAAGGAAGAAGGCTGTACGCAGAGCAGGCAGCCCTCCTCAAGGAAACGGTGTAAGGGAGTTGGAGGAAACAGGACTTTTTATTGTCCGTTCTCCATGTTCCAGAAAAGGGAAGTGACTCAGATGGTGGCGTCTGGGAGGGTTAAGTGGACAAGCCTAACTTCAGCTGGGCCATGGAAAGAGGGTGATTTCAAGAATGAAATCGTTAAAGTGTCTCAAGAGACTTAGGAGAGACTTCGTGGAGGCTCAGGAAGTCATGTAAGGCTCTGGGAGCTGGAGTCGTTTGCCCAAGGTCACACAGCTTAAGTTTGCAGTTTTTAACTGTTTGGAGGGTCCTCAGGGCACAGCTGTCTGGGAGCCAGTGGTGCAGTAACCATGGTGATTCAATCCAGCAGTTAATTAGTAACCAGAAGGTCCTGAAGTTGGCTCGCAGCTGGCAGGGCTAGGAGGCTGGACCTGTGCTGGTTTGAGAGTCAGGCGAGTGGGTGACAGGTCACTCCTACTTGGGAAGGTTGTAGGGTGAGTCAGGATTGGGTTTCAGGTCAGAAGGACGGTGCAGAGGGAGAGAGAATAATTCTTCAGGACCTGCGCTGGAACCTGGGGTTTCCAGGTGAGGAGCTTCCCTGTGTTTACTCTTGGTTTACAGCAGGATCTGATTTCTTCCAGCCTAGGCTAGATTCTTACCAAACTACACACCTTCTTTTTCATACTCTTCTCCCCCTTTTCCTCCCTAACTTCATCTCTCTGTTCCTTCTTTTCTTCTATCCAAGTTTTCTTCCTCCCTAACTCCTCTCCCCTTTCTGAAGTAAGAATTTTGGTTTCTTTAAAAACATAGGAATATCATAAGAATGTGTCTTCATTTTATTTTATTTTATTTTATTTTTGGTTTTTCGAGACATGGTTTCTCTGTGTAGCCCTGGCTGTCCTGAAACTCACTCTGTAGACCAGGCTAGCCTCGAACTCTCGAACTCAGAAATCCGCCTGCCTCTGCCTCCCAAGTGCTGAGATTAAAAAGGCGTGCGCCACCACCGCCCGGCTGTGTTTTCATTTTAATCCCGGGTGTGAGATGAGATTGTCCACAGCAGCTGACTATGATTTGCCTCATGCTCTAGCAGGGGCATGGTTTTGCCAGTTGCAGAGTTTCTTTTGTGACTGTGTGATGTTTGGAATTCTGGGGACTTTTCCAAGGATGCTAGGGCCCCAGAGGCTCTGTGCATTGTGTGTTGGTTCCTGTTGCTTGCTGCAGTTTGTCAAGTAGTTGTGCACAAAGAAGAAACAACAAGACGAAATTAGCTATCCTGACTGTGAAGATCAAACTTACCCCACGGAAGTCAATGCCCCAATCAACAGGAAGTAGTCTATAGAAAATGTCACCCCCGTTTTCCTTCTGTCCTTTTTTCTCTTCTTTCAAGTGTTGGGGTTGAAAGGGTGGAAGAAGAGGGGTGGAGAAGGGTGGAAGAGAAAAGAACCCACAAAGTAGAGTAAGTCTGGCTCTGGCTTTCTTCTCAGCCAACTGACTTCCTGATTTCTTCTTTCTTAATGAACCAGCCCATCGCAGACTCACTTCTCCCCTTTCATTTATTTCCATTTATAGCTGTCTAAACTCTTCTGGAGATTCTAGGCTGTGTGTTCTGGGGTCAGCTTGCCTGGGTTCAAACCCAATTTATATCATTTATTAACATGGCATCTCGCTCACATCATTTCTATATGCCTTGGTTTCCTCATTTAAACAGTGATGATAGGGCTGGGGGTGGAGCTTAGAGGCAGAGAACTTGGTTAGCAGTGCTGGATTCAATCTTCACACACGCACAAACACACACTTATACACAGGCACACACAGAGCATGGATGGTGATAGTTCCTATCCTATGGGGTTTGTGAGAACAAAAGAAGGCCAATCTAGCCCTTGAGCTAGGAAGGCAGGTAAATGACATTCCAATGGAGTGAAGGCAGGTTCAATGACAAGCAGATAGGAGGAGGGAACACTATACAAAGTTCTTAGAGGTGGAAAATACGAACCACGAATGGGTTAGGCAGGCAGGGCATGTGGGTTAGGGGATGTTCTCAAGAGAGAGAACTGTTGTTGTTCCTGCCTAGTTCATCATGCAGGCCTAGGGATGTTGAAGCAAGCCTACCAAACACGGCCAGAGGAAAGCAAGTATAAGCAGCAGCGGTGATGGGAGGGATCATACTAAGGGCTCATGGATAAGAGAAGGCCTGGTGACATTACTCCCTGGGTAAAGACACTTGCCACCAAGCCTGACGACCTGAGTTCAATCTCAGGGACCCTGGTGGTGGGAAAAGAGAATTGACTCCTGCAAGTTGTACACACACACACACACACACACACACACTGATTCCAATTTTGGTCAGGTTGTATCACAAGACAGTAATGCAGGATCAACTTGGCGGGAGTGGGGTAGGGTGGGTCTTAGTCAAGGGGACAGGGAGAGTGGGGAGTGAACATTCTGAAGGGCCGCTGAAGCTTGGTACTTTAGTAATTAAACAGTGACACTGTGAGAAATTTTCTGCAATAGTTCAAAAATAAAACCAAATAGCCTAACTTAACCACACTGCTCGTGGCTTCCTGCCTCTGTTCTAGCTATCCATACAAATACCTGTTGTCTTTTTTTTTCTCACTTTAATAAAATGATTGCCCCAGTGCACCCACCATTCTTAAAATGTGTTTTCTCCTTGAAAATCGTATCAGCTGTGTGACCCCATTTTGATCCGTGTAGGCATCTGTAGACAGAGGTTTGGGTGATATAATTTTTCATTTTCTATGTGTACCACGATCCATCGTTCCATTCCTTGACTCCATGAGTCAAATGTGTCATGAAAACCGCCTATATCTCAGGCCTGTTCTAGACGTAGAGAATTCAATTCCAGAAGAGTCTGCCTTCATGAGCAGATCCTCTAGTTTGAGCACTTGACCAGTGACACAGTTGGAGAGCAAAAGTGACAAGGAAACAAAGCCAGGGGACAGGACAGCTGCCATGGAGGGCTGGGGGTTTGCTCAGGTCTGCAGAGGCTCAGCACCGGAAGCCCTAAACCCCAGATAGACCAAGACAACCCATCACTTGACATCAGTCAACACAGGTGCCTCTGGGATCAAGGCCTCTGCCATGTTATTAGAAGTCAGCCATGTGATGTCTGGGGCCATTGAACTAGTTATGGGTGTAGGAAATAAATGGAGACCCAAGGACTGAGCCAGGGTTGAAGGAGAAGAGGAGGAGAGTTCAATGAGGGGACTGAGCCAGAAGGGACCACAGAACATCTCAGAGTAGAGTGGGTAAAGGGAGAGTGATAGGTAGATTGTCAAAGCCTCAGCTGGCTGAGCAATGAGGACACTGGTGTCACCATTGGCACATGAGTGGACAGTCATCCACTGTTCACTGATCTCTAAGGAGGTAGGATGAAACCTGAGATGAGCACAGGAACAGAACAGAAAAGGAGTGATCTGAGGAAGGCAGACGACTCTTCAGAGGAGTTTAATGAAGAAAGAGAGAAATGGAAATGGACGGTCAACCAGGATGCAAAGTGAGGAGCAGAGCTGGCATGTCTTGGGGTGTTCCTACGTGCCAAGTGGGGATACCTAAGCTGTCCTTGGCTTCTGCCCAGAGAAGACCCCATGGGGTTCTCGTTACTGAAATGTTCTTGGAAGGTCATGTGTTTTGTCAACACATCACCTTGCAGACTTGTGTATTGGTTCAACATTTCTACTGGTGGGAAAACAAAAGGCTTTAATACTGTTTACTGCAGTATTCTTGGGTCAACATCTCCAGGTCCCTTGAAGTGTAGAGTCTCTAAGAATATCTGACCCACCTACTCTCTGTCTGTTCTGTTCCCTCACCTAAACTGATTGAATAGCCACAGAAATCTCTAGAAGACAGTGTTGACATCATCCATTTCTTCCTTCCTCAGAACACCTGTCCACCCATCTTGATCCCTGTGAGGATCAGGACTCTGTGGGAACTTTATTGTCACACCTAACAGCAATACCTTTGTGAGCTCCTGGCATGTGAGCCCTCACACAGCAAAAGAGCTGTGAGTCAGCCAGGCCTGCTTTAGGGACAGTGGGCCAGAGCTCTTGAAGAGCCTGTGGGGAAGACCTAGGTGGTCAAGGGCTCAGTAGTCCAAATCAAAAGAGCCAGCTCCAGCTTTCCTGAAGCATCTACAGGATTTTTTCAGGTGGGTTGTTCTCCATGGCCATAGCTCAGGCAGGTCCCTGGACCTCTCCTCTAGATCACATAGTCTTAGATATGATGCCCAGATAGGCACCTGGTTCTAACAGATGGGAGATATATATGCACATATTTACACACACACACACACACATACACACACACACACACACACACACACACACAGAGAGAGAGAGAGAGAGAGAGAGAGAGAGAGAGAGAGAGAGAGAATGAATAAGGGAGAGAGCAAGATTATGCAACACACATCAATATGGACACAGACACACAGTCGCACAGTGGACCTATACATACATTTGGTTACATAGTCAATGTGCACATATTACTAGACACATTTCTTTTCTGAAGACAGACACATAGATGCTCAAAAGCAGACTCACACAAACATAGCAAATAGACTATATACACATATAAAAATAGATGCTGAGACATACTATACAGTGACACACTAAATATCTGGGGATACTCCATCCACTGCACACACAGCAAAACAATGATGAACTCAGCATAGGTGCACACACTCACATGCACACATGCTGTCACAGCAGCACACGTACACACACACACACACTGACACAAATATCTGAGTTCCGGGGCCACAGTGACACACCAGACACGACAAAGCACATCTATGCACAAAGCTCTCGCAGAGAGCACATACTCTGAGCTACACAGTTACACATACATTTCTTACAGTCCTTAGTGGTCTCCACGTTCTTCTGTGACTTCTGTGTAATCCTTCATTTCTTAGGGAGAAATGGTGACCCTGGGGGAACAGAGGTCTCCCGTCCCATCCTAAGAGCTGCTGGATCCTGTGTGACATCACCAGTTCCCTCACTTGTCACTGCTAGAAGCTCTGAGCTCTGTGCTGGGGGCACCAGGCACTAACACTTGGCTCTTGTTGGGAGAACAGAGAGAGTCTCTCTTGTCCACAGCCTGTGCTCTGCTCCAACTGCTGCGTCTCCCAGAGGCTCTGCTCTGCCCAGGCTGCATAGGTATGTGGGGCCTGGGGGGCCAGGGCCAGGCACAGGACCCATGGGGGACCACCTGGAGAGGGGTAGTAGTGTCACAGCCTGGTGTGCATCAGAGAGGCTGGAATGCACCCCCTCTGGTGGAATTAATTCTACAGCTGTATAGTTTGACAGTGCTGAACCGCTAGATCAGCCTAGCTGGGGCTGCCTTCCCCTGCCTTCCCCTGAAGCTACTTTCTCTGCTGGTGGTGGCCTCAGACCTGATGAAGTTTCTGGCCACAGGAACGGATTTCAGTGTCCCACCCAGTTACAAGAGTAGTGCCTCTAAGACCTTCCCTGGAAAGCCAGTGATCTAAGAGATACCATGCTATATAGCCCAGGTCCCACAGCAACCAAAACTGGGATCTTTTAGATGAACAATTTGCTCCTACCCCTGTGGGAGGGGTAGGGTCTTTGAGGTTCCCAGGCCCTGAACCAAATCCTAGGCAGTCAGCTACTTCCACTGTGCTGCCCACTGCTTCTACCATTTGACTTCATGTAGACACTGGCTACTCGGGGAATTCCATGATTCTGGTCCAAAGTCCCCAGTGCAGCTGTTGTTACTGGACACTGGAGAAAGTACAGGGGCCAGAAGGTTGTCTTCAACACAGAGCTTAGCCTGAGAGTACCCACAAGAATTCAGGATTGCCAACATGCTTAGGTGGGAGTCTGGAGAGCCCAGTCTACCTACAAAAGGTGGGACCCTAGAATGTCCTTTTCTAAATCAAGTGTGGTAACCCATTTCTGCATTCTCACCATCTGCAAGGCTAAGGCAGTTCTAGGCCAGCCTAGGATATATAGCAAGCTCAAGACCAGCATGGGCTCCAGCGTAAGACTCTGTCTAAAACAATAGAAAAACAAAACCACATAAGGCCTTTTAAAAGATTTCGGCTCCCTCACTGAGAAGTACAGAGAAGTACTCAGCTTTAGGCTTGCAAAGGTCCTTCCTGCTCTGGCCAACTTGAAGTTCTGGAATTTCTATGAACCACAAGGGTCTTCTTGTCCTTGGTGTCCCCAACCTTTGCAGAGACCACACCAGGCAGGGGCCACCCTATCTGTCCCTGTCTACCCCACTGAATTGTTTGGTGAGAAAGGCTGGGCTGGCAAATGTCGTTTGTCCTGACCATCCATGGACTGCTGGCCTTTGGGGTGAGAGATACTAAGGCTGTATTAGAAGGGCAAACTCCTGCACTCCTGTTCTTCCCTGTGTCCCCAGAGCCTACTTGATCACAGCTACAGAATGGCCTCTAGCCCAGTTGGAGTTCCTAGCCCACAGGTAAGTGGCCCTCCTCCCTATACCCAGCACCCTGCACCAGGGACTCACTTTCTCCCAAGGCTGAGGAAATCTGTAGAGATCCTGGCCAGCCTGTGAGTTCACTGGGATGGCCATTTGCAGGGAAAATTGAAGAGAGATTTAGCTGGGGGTTATAAGAAGTAGATTTGGTAAGAAAAAAATTATGACATTGTCTTTGAAAATACATAGGTTCAAGTCCCACCCTGGGTGCCTATAAGGCCTTGAGCAACAACTGTCTGGCTTCAGTTTTCTTTCTTTATAATTGTCATAATTTGTTAGGAGAAGCAAGTTTGACGTGAGTGATTAGATGGAAGAGTGGGTGGGCACAAGGGACAAAAAAAAACAAAAGAGGAATGGGGGGGATGGGGAGGGTGGGGGAGGGGATAAGCTAGTACTGATGTTGGCAGAACTGGGGCCTAGGTCAAAGGCAGGAGAGGGAGCTTGCCAATCTTCATTCCTTTTTTCTTTATATGTCTTCAGCCCTCTAGGGCCAATGGGAACATCAACCTGGGGCCGTCAGCCAACCCAAAGTGAGTTCTAGTTTTGAAGACAAAATTCCTTTGTCCCACGGCTGGTTCTCTTTAGAAGTAAAATCTAAGGTCTCCAGTGTACTCAAACCTTTGCCAGCTGGCCCAGAATCCCTCTTGCCCGACGTCCACTCACTTCATCTCTCATTAACTTCCCTGCTTTGACCCAGGTCGAGCCTTCTGCCTAGAATGGTCCCAAACAACTGCGCTGTCAGCAACTCTCCAGGCCCCTTCTCCAACTCTCGTGGTGGGGAGGGGGGTGGATGGGCAGACTGCCTTCTGCACCATGTATCTGATTTGTCTCTCCTGATATTAACTGGTCTGTGAGCTGGGCGGGTGTAGGGGGAGGTGTGTAAGGCTGAGTCTTTTAAGTTTCTTTGAGTTGTGAGACATGTTCTTTAGTGGCAAGGCCATGAGGCTCCTGCCTTTTCCCAGTTAACCAGAGTCCCGGCTTCCTGAGCTTCCAAATACTAATCCTTGTTCTTCTGTCTACAGTGCCCGACCCACAGACTTTGATTTCCTCAAAATCATTGGCAAAGGGAACTATGGGAAGGTAAGTAAGCACCAGGGGGAGGCTGGGGTCTCTCCCTCTGCAGCCTCCCCCCTGCTGTCTCCATTACTATATGTAAGCAAAAGTTTACGCACCTGGAGAATGGGTGTGGGGGCTGCCAGGGGAACCCCATCATCCCTGAAGTCTTGTGTATTTCCTTTTTTCAGGTCCTACTGGCCAAGCGCAAGTCAGACGGAGCCTTCTATGCAGTGAAGGTCCTGCAAAAGAAATCCATCTTAAAGAACAAGGAGGTACCAGAGCTCAGGAAAGCTCACTTCCCTTCCTGCTTCTTGATCTCCAGCCTAGGGAGGCTTCCCAAGATGGTCCCAACTCTGAGAGTTCTGGTGGAACAGCTCAGAAAGTCCAGCAGCATACAGGACCCTAACCTTTCTAGAGGGAGGCAGGCAGGCCAAACGATCTCCCTAGGAGCCCCAGGAGGATGAGAAGGCCTGTCGTTAAGAGGATCCTCTGGTGGACCAACTCTCTGCCCTCTCTAGGTATCAGGCTCCCAAGTACACACTGTGGGCTCACACCATGCCCTCTTCAAAGGTCCCTTCAGTCTAGCCAGCTTGGAAAGGAGGTCTCCCTGCATAGATGGCCTTGAATGGACCCTGACAGTAAATAGCACTCTGATAGTTTGAGAAATAAAGATGGCGTGTCCAAGGTCTAGGGAGATGGCTATGGCTCTCTGTGAAAACACAAGGACCCAAGTTTGATCCCCTTGGATGCACATAAAAAGTTAAGCATGGTAGCATGTCTCTCTAATCCCAGTACTGCGGAGGTAGGTCCAGTGAGACCCTGTCTCAAAGAATATGGTGGAGAGGGGCGGAGGGAGGCAGCTGTCATCAACAGCTTATAGATGCTCTTGGACACACACAAACACAGAGTGGGGAGGAGGGAGGGAGGCAGAGAGGCTGGGCTTTTCAGATGGATAAAATAGCAGGATCAAAGTCTGAGTCTTGCCATAGTATATGCTCTGCTTGTCACTCCAGGGCAGGGATTTCTGGAGTTACGCTAGTCTGAAGTGGCTGGGGTTGAGGCCCAAGACACTGACTTCTAAGTACGAGACAAGGAGGCTGGGGACAATTGAGAGCGCGTGTGGGCATTTGAACCCAGGCAAGGAGAAAGTCTAGGGCAGGACACTTCCATAAGCAAGGTCACCTGGAATATACCAAACTGTGACATGGACCCTGCCTGTGACTCCACAGCAGAGCCACATCATGGCAGAGCGAAACGTGCTGCTGAAGAACGTGAGGCACCCCTTCCTCGTGGGCCTGCGCTACTCCTTCCAGACCCCAGAGAAGCTCTACTTTGTGCTTGACTATGTCAATGGGGGAGAGGTGAGTGGACGGACAGTGGGGAGCTGTTCTCACACATGCCCACTGTGTACCCCGCTGCCCCCCTACAACAGACCCACTTGCTAGCCCAAGAAACAGAGGCTCAGCTCAGTAAGTTGCTTCTCAGACTCACTCTCATCGACTCCAGGAGAGGTCACTGCCGAGAGAAGCGCGTGGTCATTATTTCCAATTCTGCCATTTCCCACACCCAGGCCACAGGGTAGAGCTAACCCATCACTATCATTTCTTTAAAAATCTTACTTAGCTGGGCAATAGTGGCACATGCTTTTAATCCCAGCACTTGGGAGGCAGAGGCAGGTGGATTTCTGTGAGTTTGAGGCCAGCCTGGTCTACAGAGTGAGTTCCAGGATAACCAAGGCTACACAGAGAGACTTTGTCTTGAAAAACCAAATGGGAGAAAAAAGGGGAAAAAAGGAAAAAAGGAAAAATCTTATTTATTTCCATGTATATATATTGTATATGTGCATTTTTGTGTGCAGGACAAACATGAAAATGTGTGTGCATTTGCACATACAGGCCAGAGACTGATGTCAAAAGTCATTCCCAGGTTCTCTTTCCACTTTCTTCATCAAGTCAAGGTCTCTTGAGCAAACCCAGAGCTTGACATTGTAGCTAGTCTTCCAGTTTGTTCTGATGTTCCTTTGTCTCCATCTTTTAAGGCTGGAATTACAGCTAGGCAGCCACAGCCACATGGCATTTAAATTGGTTTCTGGGGATCTGGACTTGGGTCCTGTCTTAGAGTTTTACTGCTGGGAACAGACGCCATGACCAAGGCAACTCTTATAAGGACAGCATTTAATTGGTGTTGGCTTACAAGTTCAGAGGTTCAGTCCATTATCACCAAGATAGGAGCACGGCAGCATCCAGGCAGCCATGGTCAGGAGGAGGTGAGAGTTCTACATCTTCATCTGGAGGCTGCTAGCAGAATACTGGCTTCCAGGCAGCTAGGATGAGGGTCTTATAACCCACACCCACAGTGACACACCCACTCCAACAGGGCCACACCTAATCGTGCCACTCCCTGGGCCAAGCACATACAAACCATCCCAGGTCCTCATATTTGCATGGCAAGCACTTTAACCACTGAACCATCCCTCTATCCTGATGTCACTGCCTAAGTAGAGACCTGAGCCACTTGCTAACCCCAATACAGGGTAGGGACAAGCTGGGTACAATCTTGGTCTTTGCTTTGTCTCCCTGAACAAGGGGCAAGATTTAGTGGGGCTCTCCTCGGTTGTACCAGATTTCACCTGTAACCAAATGTTCTTCAGCCTGAGTCCAGCAAGGGAGGCTTCATCCTGCACACCCCTAAATGATGGCTTTGCAACGCACATAGCAGACCAAACAGGGAGATCTAAGCTGGGGTGTGTAATGTCCTAATGCGTGGATGGGAGAAAAGCACATTTTTTGCTGGGCGTGGTGCCTCACACCTGTAATCCCAACATGTGGGATACAGAGGTAGGAGGATTGTGAGTTCAAGGCTGGTCTTGGTTACATAGAGCCTACCCGCTGCCCTAACAGCTGCCTCCTACAACACACACACACAAAGTATGTCTTGAACTACCTGGTTTCAAGTCCCAGCTCTGCCAACTCTGAACCGTGGGACTTTAGACAAATCACTTAACTCCTCTTCTGACACAGGCATCACAGTAGAGATCTTGAAGACGGTCATGAGGATTAAATAAGAGGCATGAAGGGACCTGACTTGTAGCTTGGAACATAGTAGCTGATTAATTATGCTGATTGGAGCCATGGAAAGCCCAAGTGCCCGGAGGGGTGGAGTCAGCGTGCAATCTCTTGATTCAAGTACACTGCAGTTTAGAATAGAGCGAGTAGCCTGCACAGAAGAGAGGGTCTTGATGGCTCCTGTCTCGTGGACTGGGAGCTGGAATCCAGCCACCATCTCTCTCCCCTCTCTCCTAGCTCTTCTTCCATCTACAGCGGGAACGCAGGTTCCTGGAGCCCCGGGCCCGGTTCTACACTGCAGAGGTGGCGAGCGCCATTGGTTATCTTCACTCTCTCAACATCATCTACAGGTGAAGCCTGCTCTTGGCTCGTCATCAGTCCCAGAACCTTCTCGCTTCAACAGTCAGGGATTGTGTGGGCTGTGACGTTCCGGTGAACTTGGTCCTTTAATGGAGGAGGACCCTCCCCCTTTTTTGAAGCTTTTTTGAGACTGTCCTCTGTTTTTAGAGTTGAGCTAGCCTCCTTGGGTTTCCTTTATTCTCCTGTGGGAGCTTCCGTGAGTCGTTCTCCTGCTAGGACCAGAGTCCCCAATTCACTCAATTAAACGGCTGTTTTTTCTTATTTTCTGCAGAGACCTGAAGCCAGAAAACATTCTCTTGGACTGCCAGGTGTGTGAGGTGTGTGTGTGTGTGTGTGTGTGTGTGTGTGGTGTGTGAGGTATGTGAGGTGTGTGTGTGTGTGCATGTGTGTTTATACATGAAGCTCAAATCTGTGCTCTCTAAACATGGTCTGTGTACATTGGTACTTATGTGTTACATATGTATGCATATAGTAGCATTCATTTTTGTGTGTACATGTACATATGTGATCTTGTACATATGCATGTATAGACTCATGTGTATAGGAGTCTATGTGCATATGCACATATCAGTGCAGATATATACATATAGACATACACTTACACATATACATGATACACATCAAATGCATGATATATATCATACACATCAATCATACACATCAATCATATACATATACATATACATATACATATACATATACATATACATATACATATACATATACATATACATATACATATACAGAACTGGCACACTGTGGTTGCAAGAGAGGCCTCAACAAACCTCACCAGATTGGGGCCTAAGCAGGGATTGCTTTTTAGGATGGGAATAAACTGAGACAAAGAGATTTGGGTCTCCATGACCCTCAGCGCTCAGTTGCTGGAAGTGGATTGTCCTCTAGGGGGCAGCATAATGTTGGAAAAGAGTACAGTCCCAGCGGTACAGTGAAGATTAAGCATGGCAGCTCTGGGAGTCTGATAAGAGCCCCTCAGTATCTGTGGAGTCTGATAAGAGCCCCTCAGTATCTTTCTGCCTTCTCCATCCTCACACCCAGCTAGCACTGGTGGACATGTCAGATTCCAGCCCTCCATCAAGAGGACTGCTACCCAGTGAGAACATCCTGGAGTTGTCATTGTTGTAGGTACAGGCCTGAGTCATGACAAACTAGATCACAGACTGACATATCCCCGGCCTGTGCCCTGAGGTCTCCTGGAATCCAGGCCACGAACTCTGGGTCTGCATAAAGCACACAGTTTGTGTCTCCTCACCATACTCCACAGCCACTGCTGTGAAGTTTGAGTTTTGGCCACGTCTCTCACCCACAGGGTCATGTGGTACTGACAGACTTCGGCCTTTGCAAGGAATGTGTAGAGCCTGAGGAGACCACATCCACCTTCTGTGGCACCCCTGAGGTATGTGGATGATCTGTGGAGAAAGCAGACTGTGGATGGCTGAGGACACAGACACTAAACACAACCACCAAGCTCCAGCAGAGGGGCTTTATTTCATTCTCCCAAGCTCTTCCCTGAGCCAGTCCTGTGCCGAGTCTTCATTTCCTCAAGAGTATCAGGGAACCAGCTTTTGGGGACCCAGCTACCTCTGGCGAATTCAGCTGCTGCCCAATAGAAGTAAGTCAACTATGGCTGGATGTGGGGTTGCACACCTGCAATCCGAAGACTTGGGAAGTGGGGACAGGAAGACCTAGAGTTTGAAACCAGCCTCAGTTATATAGTAGGTTCCAAGTTAGCTGGGAACTTCGTGAAGCCAAAAACAAATACATGTAAACCTTATTTATTTATTGTGATGTTAGGGGTTGAACTCAGAGCCTCAGGAATGCTAGGAAACTATATATATTTAAAAAATAAAACCATGTGCTGGAGAGAGATGGCTCCGTGGTTGAGAGCAGTGGTTCCTCTTTCCAAAGAACCTGGGTTCAGTTTGCACGACAGCTACCAATTGTCTGTAACTCCAGGTCCAAAGGATCCAATGCCCTCTTCTGGACTCCAAGGGTATTGCATGTAATTGGTGCACGCAGAACACCCATACATAATTGAAATAAATCATATGTGTATGTATGTATGTATGTATGTATGTATGTATGTATGTATGTATGTATGTATAAAGACAGGGATGGAGAGATGTCTCAGCAGTTAAGAGGATTTGTTGCTCTTGCAAAGGATCAGGAATTGAGTCCTAGCACTGCCATGGCAGCTCACAGCCATCTGTAACTCCAATTCCAGACGATGTGACACCCTCTTTTGGCCTTTGTGGGCAGTACACACACATGTGGCACACAGACATACATGTAGGCAAAACACCCATACACATAAAATAAAATTTAATAAATAAGAAAAAAAAGACAGGAATAGTGTGTGATTTGATGGTAGAGCACTCGTCAAGGTCCTGGGTCAGATCCCCAGCACCTGTGACACACACACACAGGAAAAAGAGACAGGTAATGCTGGGGCATGTTGGCACATGCTGTTAATCCCAGCGTTTGAAAGGTGGATCTCTGTGAATTTGAGACCAGCCTGGACTACATAAGAAGTTCTAGGCCAGCCAGGTTACATATTTAAGACTTGTCTTGGTGTGTGTTTTGTGTAAGGAGAAATTGGTGAAACTAATTTTAATAATATATTTTATTTCACTCAATATGTCTCAAATATTCTCATTTTAATAAATACTCAGTATAAACTTGTTAGATAGGGCTGTCAAGATGGCTTAACATGTAAGGGCACTTTTTGCAAAGCATAAGGGCCTGAGTTCAATGCCCAGAACCCACATGGTAGAACTTAACTGATTGTTTGTTCTAAGTTGGTCCTCTGACCTTCCTATATATGTGTATGCGAACACACACACACACACACACAATGTAAAAAAATGTTGAAATAATGATTTTTTTCTGTCTTACAATTATCTAGTATATGAGAATAGTTTACATTTATATTCCATCTCAGCTGTGATTGGTCACATTTCAATAGACACAGATCTTGGTCCTCTGAAGAAGCAATTGTTTGATAGCCACATGTGACTAGTGGCTACTATATTGGATGGCACCTCTCCATAGGCCCAAGTCCTTGACCATGAGAGCCTGGCTTGAGAGCTAAGGTCAGGGTTTGGAAGTATTAAACATAAATCTACCTACTTTCAGAGATCCTAAGAGGTTAAAATGTGTGGATTTCTGTAATCCCCACCCTCACCCTCATTGATAAGGTGGGGTAGGGGGATTGTAAGACACTACCTCAAGATAATAATTAGGGCTACCTAGCATGTATGAGGCCTCGAGTTCGACCTCCAGGATCACAATCAATCAGTCAGTCAATCAATCAGTAAATATTGCATGTCTGAGCAGGAATTCCATGTTTATCTGACTTGCCTTGGATTTTAAAACCTTTCCTTGAATATCCACCAGTCTTGGATGTTGAATCTTGAACCAGGAGGGCCCCTGTAGCTTGAGCAGGCATCAGAAGGAGCAAAGGGTTGAGGCTGCAAAGTGGAGCTGCTCCTCTCTGTTCACTCTGGGACAGGACTTTAGAGCCTCCCTGTTTGTCTCCATCAGCCTGAAGAGTTGTTCCGGACCTTCAGATGGGGTCCTCCAGTTGGTACTCAGGGAGTTGATGGTCAGAAAACCTCTCCCAGCAGGAACCATTAGCTATGCTTGCACATGGGGTACCTACTTAATGAAATTGTCCCCTCCCCTCCAAAGCCTGACAACAGTCAGTCCTTTCTTGGGTACAACTAGCAATAGGGGGTGGGGGGGATATGAAATTGTAATTCATGTAGGAGATATTCCTTCTAGAAATGTCACTCCTGAAGTCTCAGGCACACAGACAAGAGTTTCCACTTTTGTTCCTGTGTCCCCAATAGGGACTCCATGTCCCTTTTTTTACTCTGTGTGTGTGTGTGTGTGTGTGTGTTTGTGTAGTATGCACACATATTCATGTGGCTATGGACAGGTTCATGTGCACATGGGTATAGAGACCAGTAGTTGATGTCAGATGTCTTCCCTAATCACTCTCCACATTATGTTTTTTGAGGCAATGTCCCAGATTGAACCTGGAGTCCATCTGTTTGGCCAGGCTAGTTGGCCAACAATCCAGGGATCTGCTTGTCTCTACCCCGACCCTATGCCATGTCACTGGAGCCATCTCACCCAGCTTGTATGTGACTGCTGGGGATTTGGATACAGGTCTTCACGCTTATACACCAAGCATATCTCCAGCTACCACTTTGATCATGTCTCCATTTAAGGATAAAGAAGCCAAAGATCTGACAGGTCAATTGCTTTCTAGACCCATACACTGAAGACAGCTCAGGGCTGTATGGTTCTCTTCCCTTCCATAGACCCATATAGTCCTTCAGGGTAGCTGTTTCTGTTGCTGGGACTCTGTTCCTTAGCAGCAAATAACTCCAGGCTAAGGGGTCAACAAGCCCTTGGGATGGGCAGAAACACAGCACTGCCTCAGTTTCTTTCCCTGTGCCATGCATGGCTCCCTGGCATGTCCCCATCAGTGGCCTGGAATGCACCCCTTTCTGACCCTCTCCCCAGCATTAATGTTTCCAGAACAAGGTGTGCCACATTCCTTTAGCTTTGTCCCTTTGTCCCCTGGATGCACTACAAGGTACTGCCAGGGCTTTCCCAGGCTTATGACACGGGTATCCTATAGGTGACCACATACCAATAAGAAGGAATGGCTGCTTCTTAACTGCAGGTCTGGCTTGGTGAGTAGATCACAGACAGGTTGTAGTTCCCTTTACCCCTTTGGCTGGTACTCTTGTGAGAGATACAACATGCATAACCATGCAGGGCAGTCTTGTCTGATTTCTGGTATGCCCCAGCGCGCAGCAAAGAGCCCATCACCAACCAGACCTCTAGTGAGCAAATACTGATGAGCACAGGAGAAGCTATGGCATTCTGATGGCAGGAACAACCCCTGCTGATGTTCTTCTTTGAGTTCCTTGTTTATAGAGAAACTGAGACTAGGGGGGTCCTCAAATAACTATACTTACTTCTTCAACAGTATCTGGCTCCAGAAGTGCTTCGTAAAGAGCCTTACGACCGAGCAGTGGACTGGTGGTGCTTAGGGGCAGTGCTCTACGAGATGCTGCATGGCCTGGTGAGTGGACAGATACGTCTACGGGGCACACGTGGCTCGGGAAGCTGAGGGTGGTCCTCGGTTTCTGTAGCTTACTCTAGCTTTGCATGGAGAATTTAACGAACTATCTGTCCACTCTGGGAGTAAAGATAAAGATGAGGCCAAAGAAAATATAAGGAATGTGTATCTGTATCTGTATATGTATCTGTATATGTATCTGTAAAATGTTATTTCAGCAGGTTCCATTTATAGCAGATCCTTTTTGCAGAGTATAGAGCTACTTTTATTGTACCAAGAGGGAAACTGGGGCTGAAAGATCACAGTGCTGATAGATTGAGAGCCACCCTGGACTGTACGCTTAGGAGGAAGCCTGTGAATACCTTCCTGAGGCTGGCTTTCCTCTGGGCTGGGTTCTCCAGCATGGCATGGTACTGCAGAAAGAGTCAGCTCTGAGTATGTAGAAGGACCAGTGGGTGGAGGAGCTGGAGGAAGAGCCAGGAGGGCTAGACTCTGAAGGTAGTTTAGAACCTTGCTCTTTTCTTAGCTCTGTGGTTTAATGGTCTTCTCTGATCTGGCAATTTGTAGCCTCGGACAGAAGAAGGCTGTGAGGCCAGGCAGAAATGAGGAAGATGAGGGTAGAATATTTAGTACACAGGTGGTCCGCAGACCTGCACGAGCCTCCCATGGATGGGGAGACCCTGTGACTTTCTCAGCAATCCTTTGTCCTGTGCTGGAAGCCTGGAGGTCCTTTCTCTCACTACCTGCCCCATGATCTGTGGCCCTGGACTCAGGCCTGGACAGATCCTCTGGGCTATCCAGCTTGCTCTAACATTCCATGAGACCCGTTTCCATGGCTTTCTGGCTGAGCCTCCAGCTTTTCTCCCTTCTCTCCCCAGCCCCCCTTCTTCAACACAGATGTGGCCCAGATGTATGAGAACATTTTGCATCAGCCACTACAGATCCCTGGAGGCCAGACAGTGGCTGCCTGTGACCTTCTGCAAGGTCTTCTCCACAAGGACCAGAGGCAGCGGCTGGGCTCCAAGGAAGACTTTGTAGGTGACCAAGCAGAAAAGCACTGGTCCCTTCCTGCAGAGACAGCTCAGAAGCATCTGGGGTGGAGTTGTCTTCTGCTGCTCTGTAGAGCATTTGCCTAGAAATTACCTTTCTGTCAGTTGAGTGCACGAACTCTCTCTGTCTCTGACATCTCTGTCTCTCTGTCTCTCTGTCTCTGTCTCTCTGAATCCTGTGGTATGAACAAGGAGGAGAATGGCAAGAAGCAGAGTGTGTTTGTTGAGTAGAGGAGTTGTATGATCTAAGTTTTCTAGAAGCTTCCTTCTGCTTCTGTGCAGAAAGACTGCACAGATATCTTGCTTTTTACAAATATCTGAGCAATTCACATTGCCAGACACCTGTTGGACACTTAAGATATGGATACAAATAATTCACTGAATTCCTAATCTGTTCCTTTGACCCATGCATATTTCTTTTTTTTAAAAAAAAAAAGACTAAGGCATCACTTTAAAGACAATCTTATTCATTACCCACTGTAAGATCATTTCAGGGCCAGCAAGATAGTTTGGGTGTAAGGTGTCTGCTATCAAGCCTGACACCCTGAGTTTAATCCCCAAGATCCACATGGTGGCAGAAGAGAACTGACTCCCCAAAGTTGTTCTCTGACCTCCACATGCAGCAAAAGCAGGCTGATCTAAAAAGTGAGTTCCAGGCTGACCATGGCTATATAGTAAGACCTGTCTCAAACAAGGAGGAAGTGACTGCAGCCCAGGCAGCCCCACCATCTAAAGAATAGGTTCCAGGACTGCCCCCCCCACCTTTATGGATAACACAGCTTTTGACCCATGTCTGGCATAGAGCATGGGTTTGTAAGTATTATATACACTAAACCATCTCCATGCCAGGAACTGTGATGTGTGAGAACATTTTGGCTATTTGCCTATCCATTCCTGCAGCCAATTTAAAGATCCAGACTTCCGTGACGATAGACCCCTTCCTTCCAAAGAGGTGTTTGCATCTTAGAACATGCCCATGACTCTTTATGCCACAACTCCGCTGTGCTCACATAAATCAAACCTCTGGGCGGCCATATTGACAGAAGGAGTTACAGAACTGTTCAGTGTGAAGTAAACAGAGGGAGGACCCTGCTGGAAGGGAAGGCGGGTTAGGAAAGAAGTGGAGACTCATGCCCAGGACTCACTCTTCATTTCTGGGTCTCTGGAAATCTGCGGTTCTTCTTGGGCCTTTAGTCCTCATGTCTTCGTCAGTGAGTGGCTTTGTTCTGTTTCTCTGGGTTTCATTCTGAACAATCAAGATGTAGTAATGTACGTGGAAGTGAGAGGCTGTCTTCAAGCGCCCCCGCCTGCCCTAGTCCTCTATAACCAGTTCCGCAGCCTTGGTCACGGAAATGCCGCCAGAGCCTGGAACAGAATGGGTGCTGAGATCTAACTGTGGAAGGCACCTGTGCTGTAGGGAAGAATTTGGGTTCAGATGATGTGGGAGGTGAGATGTCTGTTGACAGAATGCTGTCTTGGCTGAGCAGACTACCCAGAGCTGCAGAGGTCTATCTCGTTGGTGGCCAATAGTGGGTACCAGTTGGGGTGCAGCTATGGCAAGGACCGCTTCTGACCAGTGTCTTCTTCCTGCAGCTTGACATAAAGAACCACGTGTTCTTCAGTCCCATAAATTGGGACGATCTGTACCACAAGAGGCTGACCCCACCCTTCAACCCAAATGTGGTAAGCAATCGCAGGGTTCACTCCAGATTTTGGCTTCTAGATTCCCAGAATCTAGGCCAACTCTCTTTATACAGTTGGCAATGCTAAGGGTTGGAGAGTCTCAGTGATTCACCCAAGGCAGCAAGAACCAGAACTGGCCAGCTAGCACCAGTTTTGTGTGTATGTACAATTACATACATACATGCATGCATACATACATACATACATACATACACACATACACACATACACACACACACACATTTTTCGAGATGGGGTTTCTGTATGTAGCCCTGGCTCTCCTGAAATTGGCTATGTGCACCAAGCTAGCGTCAAAGTCAGAGATCCACCTGCCTCTGTCTCCCAAGCACTGGGATTAAAGGTGTGTGGCACCACTCCTTTTGTGTGATTATATTTAATTTAATGTTACATCAGAAATGAACATGAATTTGAGGAGTTGCAAAAGCAGGCAACTTCATGAAGATGACAGAGCAGTTGAGGGTGCCCATATAGGCTAAGTTGGCTTGCCCTCAGAGAGGAAGGATTACATATGCCAAGACCAACATCGGTGAGATTCTTTTTTTGGATTAAAGGTGTGTGCCACCACCGCCCGGCTATCAGCAGTCAGTGAGATTCTTGAAGGTAGGATTTACATACCACTGGGGTGTTTGAAAGCAACGGCTACTGCTGCCCTTGGCTGGCAATATAGGTGCGAATCTATGAGCACGTGCCTAAAATCTCTTACAAATACCATTTCCAAACACAAGCCTAGAACCAGCCCCCCGGGCCCCCCCCCCCCCCGGGGTTGCCCTTGGGACAAGTTCATCATCATTTAATGATGTCTGGATGCTTTCTCCCCTGGAGTTTTCTTTGCTGGGCTGTTTTCTTCTTTTTGATACTCAGTTTTGAAGTGCCAGTCTTGTTCACTTCTGAGAAGTCTGGCTCATCACTCAACCTGACTAACAGAGACTGCAGACTCCAGGGCTCACAGGAGGTCACCAGTCTGAGACACTGTTTGTTGGGGACTAGGTTCTAGCACCAAGTTCTTGATAAAAATGGTCAGATAGGCTATATAGTACAGGGTCCTGAGATGTTACTTCCTTTTTGGATATTGTTTTTTTGTCTTGGGAATGGAACCGAGCCTCACATACTAGGTAAGTACTCTGTCACTGAGTTACACGCCAGTTTTTTATTCTTGGGACTTAAAACGACAGTAAAGAGAGTATGGTGACAGTTTCATAAACATTTTATAATAAGAGAACAAAGAAAGTGATAAATCAAGGCACCCTTCAAACATTATGGTGGAGACATTAGGTAGGTGGGTTACAGCAAAATGGAGACGTCCCTGCCATAGGGCTTAGTGCCCCCTAAAGACATTCTTAGGGCCTTTTATACATTCCAAAGATTTTATCTGTTAGCCACAGGAGGCTAGGTCAGACACAGAGGTGGTTAAGGGATGCTGATAAGGGAGAGGAGTGGCTAATGATAGCCCATGGTAAATTGTAATTAGGCTCTAGACCTCCAACACTCCAACTTTTCCATAATTACCAAAGTTTTAATCAGTTAATCAGACCGATGGCAGGTGCAATTCCTTTCAGGAACGTTGGTTCACAAGAGGGAATGCTCACAGAATCCTAGAAAGAGATACAGGAAAATACAGTAATATATCAGCCTTCGAGCAAGACATTTGGGAGGACTCCTGGTCCTGGTATTACTGATGAGACCTTGTACACATTGTTTTAGTACCAGGTTCTTCATTTGTAGAAACTGGAAACTAATTGGTTGTCAAGAGCTACATAGCTAATGTTAGCCAAGGAAGATGAGAGGAATTCACATCCTGGTCCAGGAACTCTGAGGCTGGGCTGGACCACTGCACCCTGTGGCTCTTCTGAGAAGCTGGAAGCCATGGCTTCCTCAGTCCAGGACCTGCAAGCTAAAGCAGGTCTTCAGACCCTTCCACCACTTGTTCACCTGCTCATGTCAGATACCCCAGAGGCAGTGTCACCTCTACAGGAACACTAGTATTGTTTCACTCCTGCACTCTAAATGACAATCTTTGTAAAGATTTTATTTCTTTATTTTGATTGAGTACATATGTAGTACATGTGCAGGCCCGTATGGTGTAGAGACCAGAGGAGGCCAGAAGAGGGCATCAGATCCCCTGGGGTTGGAGTTACAGGTGGCTGTGTAGCTTTCGAGAGGGTGCTGGAAACCAAATTTAAATCCTCTGCAAGAGCATCAAGCACTCAACTGCTGAGCTATCTCTCCGGGCCCTGAACAAGCTTCTATCTGGTGCCTATGGGTTTTTCAGAGTATACCAGGCCAACATTTCTCTGTGGATCCTCAGTCTGTGGTTAGTAGTGAAACAGCTGGCGCTGATGGTCTGGAATTTATCACTTGTGGTTTTTTTCCTGAGTTCTCTTCACCTCCTTCAAACCAGTTCTGAGTTTGTGTGTATGGTGGCCTCAGAGTACCAAGAGAGACACCAAGATTTCAAGCCTGATTGGGCAGTCACATGACTAGCCCATGTTTAAAAGATAGAGGTATAGGGGCTGGAGAGATGGCTCAGCAGTTAAGCACTGCTCTTCCAGAGTTCCTGAGTTCAATTCCCAGCAACCACATGGTGGCTCACAACCATCTGTAATGGGGTCTGATGCCCTCTTCTGCTGTGTCCAAAGAGAGCAACAGTATACTCATATACATAAAATAAATAAATCTTTTTAAAAAGCTTACATGCACACGCGCGCACACACACGCGCGCGTGCACACACACACACATATATACATATACATATATACATATATATATATACATATACATACATACATACATTATATATATATATTTCTATCCCTGGAGTAGAAATGGAGAATCTATTATCATTTTTTTTGAGACAGGGTCTGACTATGTATTCCTGTCCCTGGCTGTCCTAGAACTCTTTATGTAGGTAGACTAGTAGACCAGGCTGGCCTGAAACACATAGAGAACCACCTGTCTCTGCCTCCCTAGTCCTAGGATTAAGGGGATTCAACACTATGGCCAGCATTGTGTCTTTTTAAAGACAGGATCTTATATACACCTGGATAACCTCAAACTTTCCTTGTAGCCAAGGATAACCCAGAAGTTCTGATTCCTCTGTCTCCCCTTCCCAAGAGCTGGGACTTTAAATGTGCATCACCATACTTAGTTTGTTATCATTTTTTTTTTTTTTTTGCCATTTCCTATATAGATCTCCCTCCAATGTAGCCTAGCAGCCCCAGTGTCTCTACCATCTTATCTTATTTTGTCTCTATTATCCAGGAATTTATCAGTCCCCTAAATGATCCTCCTGTCTCTCCTCTGTCATATGTGGTCCTTGAAAGCAGAGGTTCCCTCTGCTTTGTCCTCCATTGTTCCAAGTGCTGTGAGCTGAGCATATGGTAAGCATTTAGGAGGTATACACATGACTAATGGCTTGTCTGAGGATTGGTACGGAGCGTGAGACACTTCCTGTTAAATATGAAGGACCAGAAGGCACTGAGACCAGAAGGCCTGACACGCCTCCCAGTTCCGGGATCTTTAGCTGACTCTGATCCCTGCCTCTCTTCTCATCCCTGACTGACAGGAAGGACCCGCAGACTTGAAACACTTTGACCCAGAGTTCACCCAGGAAGCTGTGTCCAAATCCATTGGCTGCACCCCTGACACCATGGCCAGCAGTTCTGGGGCCTCAAGTGCATTCCTTGGATTTTCCTATGGACAGGATGATGATGACATCTTGGACTCTTGAGAAACAAGCACTTAGGAAGTCACCAAGCCCTGCTGGCACCTTCGGGAACTACCTTCTGCTGCACTAAGACACAATGAGTCCCAAAGAAGTAAGACACAGTGACTCAGAGAAGAGAGGAGTGTTTTCCATGACTCGAAAGAACAGTTCAGGGCTCAGGCTGGCTGGATAAGCTCCTAAGTCCCCAGCCTGCAGTTCTGACTTCTCTTGGTTTTTCATTTTTGTTTTGTTTGTTGTTGCTGAGGCAGTGACAATATATGCAAGAAAAGTAAAGAACATCTATTTGGGCTCACGATTTCAGAAGGTAAAGCCCATACTTGGCTCATCCATTGCTGTGATCTTCAGCCAAAGTTGAGTCACCTTGCTGGAAGGAGTGGCTTACCTTATGCCTGTCAGGAAGCAGAAACTGAAGTCTGGACTGGGAATACGATACCTTGAGATACTCCCAAGTGACCTACTCTCTTCAAGCAGGGCCTACCTCCTAGTTATCACCTCTCCAGGCTATAAAATTACAAATCTATGAATGGACTAAATTGCTGAGGAAGCCCGAGCCTCTCGCTGGATAGTGATCCAATCATGTATTAAAGGCTCTATCGGCTGAACACAAGAACCTTCAGAAGACACTTCACATCAGAACCGTGACAGCTTTGAATATTGAGCTTCCAGATCACAAAGTGGTTACTGGCCACTTTTGTGTTCCAAGCAAGAAAAAAGGAGGAACGGGACAGAAGTGGGTTGCTCAGAAGCCCTGTCTGGTAGTTTCCTTTAGTGTGTCATAAATCCTCCAGCTCTACTGGGATGGAGCCTGGGCATAACTCCCTCTCTTAGTAAAAGGGTTCAAATGCTGAGGGAAAGGGGAGAATGCTGTGTAGGTGACCAGCACCTCTTGGTATCTGAATTTTTATTTCAGTGTATAAATTGATGAAATGTAGTAAGCCTGACATGTGTTGCCTTCAGCTTCACATTGCTCTGTGTGGAGGGTGTCTTTGTTTCAGGTAGTATTAAATGCACTGGATATTTGTTACTGAGTATGGTTGCCTCAACACCTTTCAATATTCAAAGAATTCCCTACTTTTGAGCCTCTGTTGGAGGGTTGAGGAGGGGTGACAACCTCCATTTAGAATAGCAGGAAATGATAGATTCTGACTTCCTCATCCTCCTCTTAGCTCAAGTGAGACATTTGGTCCAGAGATGCATCTGTGCCATACCTGGGAACTCTGAGTTCCTCCTGGAGAAAGGTCCACAGTGCAGACTGTAGCAGCCAGTCCCTAGAAGCCTCCAGCTTTCCTTTGAAGATTTCAGTCTTTGACACGCTCCCTTCTTACTTAGTTGTCAGAGTCAGCCTCAGAGCGTGTCTCTTGGGCAAGCTGTAGAGTTAATGTTCTTATCTATTAGCAATCTTCATCCAAATGACCCTAAGGTAATAATTACTCCCCCTTCTTTTGCCAATGAAGAGACAAGGTCAGAGAAACTTCAACTGTGCTTAAAGGCCACACTACTATCACAGGCTGGGATTTTGAACTATGTTTGACCTAGGGCTCTACCTTGAAATCTTTGGGCAGATCTATTCCTCCCTCAGGCTGTTAGGACCAAGAAATAAGTCAACATTTCTCATGAGAGATGGGAATAGTGCACATGCCCTGAAAACCAGAGAGGCCAGGATGTGTGGATCTGTGAGTTCCGGGGCAGCCTCGTCTACAAAGTGAGTTCCAGGCAATCAGGGAGACACAATGAGACCATATCTCAAGAGAGAGAAAGAGAGAGAGAGAGAGAGAGAGAGAGAGAGAGAGAGACAGAATAAAGCAAGAATTGGCTAGAATAAACCAGAGAGTAATAAAGAAGGGTCTTGAAGATACCCTCACTCCTGACCTAGCCCTGATTATCAAGTTCATGTGCTTTATCTTAAGGTCAGAGTTGATTTTGGAGGCCAATATCCTGGCTAGCTACTAAGCTGTAGCTGTTCAAAATTCCTCATTTCAGAAGGTAGCCAGACTTGGGCATGTGATGTACGTTCAGGACACTGCCAGTGTGGGGTGAATTATTCTGCTTTGTTTCAGTTTCTTTTCCACTAGCTCCTGGCACATACTTCAGGGTAGCCTCATTAGCTGGCTGGATTGGGGACAATGGGAGGACTTTCTTTGAATCAGTGTTTGCTGGTGATTTTTACTGACTTTTCCTCTATACTTGGCCCCACTCCTTTCCTCTCAGTTTTGTTGCCTTTGTCCCCTGCCCTAGGAATTAAGAGGGGAGGCAAGACTGGGACACACAAAAACAAAAGAAAACATCAGTAACACTGTTCTGTTGGAGATCAAAGCTCAGTCAAGAATTACTATGAAGCTTTGATATGGAAAGGAACTGATTCTTATCTTACCCAGTATGGGTTAACTGCTAGAGGTGAGACACAAGAAGAGGACAAATCTTCTCTTTTACAGGATTGTGACTGTCCAAAACCTCAACATGCCATCAAAAGTCCACAATCAGCTGTTTTAAGATTGTAAAGTCACAGAATGCTTCACCAGGATAGAAAATGAAAATGAACAAGTATGGCATGAAATTGACTCTGTGTGTGTGTGTGTGTGTGTGAATATCCCATTATAAATTTGTATTTGTGGGGGCAGAAGAGATGGCTCAGGGGTTAAGAGTACTGGCTGTTCTTCCAGAGGTCCTGAGTTCAATTCCCAGTAACCACATGGTAGCTCTGGTACCCTCTTCTGGTGTGCAGTCTTACACATAGGCAGAGTACTGTATACATAGTAAATAAATCCTTTTAAAAATTGTATTTGGCTGGGCGGTGGTGGCGCACGCTCTTAATCCCAGTACTTGGGAGGCAGAGGCAGGCGGATTTCTGAGTTTGAGGCCAGCCTGGTCTACAGAGTGAGTTCCAGGACAGCCAGGACTATACAGAGAAACCCTGTCTCGAAAAAAAAAATTGTATTTGTATGTATGTGTGCATAAACATGTCATACAGTACTTGTGGAGGTCAGAGGACAATTTTCAGTTCTCTACTTCCATTATGTGGGACTCAGGGATTTAACCTGAGGTGTCAGACTTAGCCTTTTTTACCTGCTGAGCCACCTCAATTCCCCATCGAAATTCCATCTATATTCCTCATAATAAACCTTTAGAATCTATTCTCAATTTATGTGTAGAAAATACTCGTATTAAGCAGCAGATACAAGTCATTTTCAGAAACTGGACTTTGGAGCAGCTGACTCTAAAACCCTCAAACTCCTTCTGCAGAAATGCTCTAGGAGGCGCTCTCGTTCTGGTGTACTAACACTTCTAGTACACTTACTGTACAGAATGATCCTGTGATTTGCCCAAGTCCACATCGTGTTCCTTTGCATCCTTGATTGCACATTGTATTCAACTTTGCAGCACTCCTCTAGAAAAGTCCCTGGACTGGGAATGAACTCAATGGTACAGCTCACGATGTGGACGGCTCTGGATTTGATCTTCAGTGGGAGAGAAGAGATCGTTCTCCTTCACACGTTTCCCCACGTTCTAAACCATAGTTGTGAAAGTGCCAGACAAGTTGTGTATTCATATCCTAAACGCATACTGCTCTGTATTAAGACATAGATGAAAATCAAAACTGCTGGGCTTCTTACAAGTGCCTGCTCCAAGCTTTGAGGCTGTAGCCGCTTTGAATACAAATACACAGCTCTCTTGGTGACACGTAGGCGAATGCAAGCGTGTTTCCCGTTTCCATGGCAATCGTTTGCACAAACAAGTACCTCTTCCCGAAACGCTTCCTCAATTCCACAGTAGTATTACATTTCCGGCGAGTCACAACTCCCTACCCTAGTTTCTACTTCTAAATTTTTGTATGACCTGGCATTTCGGGTCTCCAGATCGCCATCCTGCAGGAGCCTGCCCAGAACCTGACCACCCTGCGCCTGCGTCCTGGCAAGGCCGGGGCGTGGCTTGACGCAGTAGTCCCCGCCCACAGGGAGGCCCGAGCTCGCGGCCTGGGGACCTACCACCTTTATCAGTCTTTAATAGCAGTTGCTAGTGAACGAATGGAATGGGATTCTTATTAAAAAGTGACTCCTTAAGCTTGGAGACACCTTTCACTGGGGGAATGGGCCAGCCCGGCGCTAGCCTACGGTCCTACACAACAGGCCACAGCGTCCCCAGCCAGCTGGCACCGCCCTTCTGTCTCTCTGTCGTCATCACGCCCGCGACGGAAGTTGCTTGGGGCCCGGAGCCACGCCTTCTCGGCGCGCGGCCTTGGATACCTGGCGGCCTCTGGCCTCAGGTAAGGAGAGGTCGGGTTGTGCGGGCCGCCTGGTCGTTGGGCTGGCTGGAGATGATGACGGCCTCGCTATGCCGCTCTGGAGACCCCTAGGCCAGCCTTGTGAGAATCCCGAGGTCGACAGAGGTAAACTGAGGGCGCGTAAATGGGCTAGGAACAGGTCCTGGAAATGATCTGGAATTTCTAGCTCCTCAGACTGCGCGACTTTGTCGTAGTCCTGCAGAGTAAGAAAAAAAACCCTGAACGAGGAGCCGTCAAGTCAGACTCAGCTATCATTGCATCCACGCTTGTTTTTTTTTTTTTCGTCACTCTGGCAAAATTTAGTTTACGTTGTTAGGTTATTGAAGAGAAAGTAAGAGAATGGTTGGACAGCGCTACCTAAATATTGTTTTAATATTCTTATTATTACTGATTTTTTAAGCCTTATCCTATCCTTAGGGAAACTCATTTCTAATTCTAATTGGACAGGACTCCAAATCTACTGCTGTCTCAGAAGGAGGTGGTAGTGCTAAACTAAAATAAAGAAGTGTATTCTTCTATTAAGAGCAATTCAATACTCAAGGAAGGTTATTCACTTTTCCCAGAAATCTGCCCCCACCCCAAATATGTCTCAAAAACAGAAAAATATAAATCTCAGTATTGTGTTGTTTGGGTTCTTTGTCACATAGAACTAATATAATAATAGTGTTATCATCACTAATGTGATCATTGAAATTTTCTAATAGGAAACTGGAGAAGGCAGGGTACTGCATATTGTATGTACACAAAATGAAAACAAGCATGTCCAAAGATGGATAGAACAGGAAAGTACAGCTCTGCTAGCTGGCTGTGGTGGCACACACCTTTAATCCCAGCTTGGTCTACAGAGAGAGTAACAGTGCTACACAGAGGAACACTTGAAAAAACAGAAGAAAGAAAGAAAGAAAGAAAGAGAGAGAGAGAAAGAAAGAAAGGGAGAAAGAAAGGGAGAAAGAAAGAAAGAAAGTAGATCTGTCATGTGATGAAGTCAACATGATGAAATGTTTTCAATGTCATTGAAGGGCTTAAGGCTGCAGCTTAGTTAATAGAATGTCTGCATGAGGCCCTGGATGTCTGGTCCTCAGAACAGAAAAAAAAAGTCATTTGAGAGGCAGTGGCATGGTGGCAATGTGCCACAGGTGGATCTCTGTGAGTTTGAGACCAGCTTGGTCTATATAATGAGTGTCAGGACAACCAGAGCTACATAGTGAAACCCTGTCTCAGATAGATAGATAGATAGATAGATAGGCAGATAGACAGAATTTTTAAATGAGTCTAGATAAATAGATAAAAATTTAAAAGTCTAGGAATCTTTTTAGTCTTTTATGAGCAAAGAAAATTTAAAAATTGTCATTAAGTTTATGATTTGTTAAATAGTTGTATTGTGTCCTTAAAACAGAATACTATGTAGTTATTTGGAAGAATTGGTTCATAGTAAAGGAAAGTTGTCATATATGCAGTGTGTTTCAGAGTAGTATTTATGGTAAGATCTTATTTTACAAAATAAACTAAGCTATGCCTAAAATAATGTAGAGAGGTATACCCTACAGTTGTCAGTAGCGAGCAATCCCAGTATACAACAGGAGGGTGATGGTAGGCAAAGTCATGAGAGTAGGCAGGTAGGAAAGCCAGAGGCACAGCCTGAGAGTTAAAACCCGACTCAGGCCACCTCTGGTAGGCCATTGGCTTTTCACTGTCAGCCTTTGAGAATCATTAGGGCTTAGAGATAGGTACAGCTGTGCGCCCTTCTCCA